CCTTGTCCTCTTTTAGTGTTTGACCTGTATGGTATGGCATCACAAGGCATTCTCTCTAAGTAGACAAACCATTTAATTTGCTGTCTTTGTATGAATTTAGAATAGATTCCGCGCCGACTGTTTCTTTCATTACCTCATTCCTGATTTGATCTCTTTTGGTCACTCCTCAGACATCTCATTTCTATGGTCGCTAACTTCTCATTGTATTCTCTGTAGTGATAATAAATTCACTGCCAGTCTGCTAGGCCTGTAGCAACTTCACCAGACCATAATGTTTTGGGGTGACCAAGGACTGCCTTAATGGCTACCGTAGCATCCCCGCGCACAAGGCTACACCATACTTGGCACAATTCTAAGACTACCCTACTATGTAGGGAATTCACAGGATTCAGTGACCCATAAATGAAAACTATTCCACCAGACTTAAAGAGCTAAAACTCTCAGGATTCACCAACCACCAGAGCAAAACCATCCCTTATTGGCAAGTCTTACTGCTGCCTTCCACTGGATTGTCAGTCAGCTGTACAGACATGTGGTAATTGTAACTGACTCACAGAGTATTTTGAGAAAGGTGGAGACAGGCATGCAGATTGGCAAGCATCGCTCCAGAGGCCCCGGGTAGTTAGCATCTTTTAGATATTTTCTCCAGGTCATAGTGGTGTGTTGGGAAATGAGCAGACAGGTACTTTTGCCGGTACTGCCCCACAGGGTGGTGAACTGATGTGTAACAAGCTGGAGGTTGTGAGGGCCCTCTGGGAGCGAGTGAACAGTGCAGAGGTTCAAACAGATCATTACGGTTTGAGGAGAATGGTGCTGTGGGGAGTTATCAGGGGATCTGGCCAAGGCTCAACACTCAAGGGAAGGGCAAGATGGATATACAACCAGTTACTGGTGCTATCGCAATGGAACTCTTCGCTTGTCACTGAAGATGAGGACGGAGCATTTATGGGAGTGTCTCAAGTGCTAAGATGTTGATTCTCAGATGAACATTAAAAACTAGCAAGTCTTACCTTGCAGAAGTCTAACTCTGTGGCCGACTTTGACAACTTCATCAAACTGATCACCTCCAGAGCTCCTGCACTTGCCTTACTGACTACAGGGCTCAGTCTGCAACTGTTCAGATATTTGGAAAAAAACATTAAAATCAAATCTGGAGTGTTCGTTTTTTAAACACTGGCTGACACACTGTGTTGTATTTTACAATTAAGCTGCTATACCTGTGTGTGTTTTTTTAGGGCGATTTAAGAAAACCTTTCAATTAGTTGCCTCCACAACATATGTCCACTTCTGGACTTTGTACTTGTTTGCAGAACTTGAGATGCCTGCCTGATATTTAAAATATTAGAACACATGAGTCCTTAAACAAAGTGATTTGTCTTCTTCTTCTTCTTCTTCTTAGCATTCACCAGCTCTAAACTCTGGCTGAAAGTTCTGGTTATTTGTCCACTTCTGGACTGTGGTCTTGTATGCAGAACTGGAGTTCTGCAAACAAAAAAGCAGATCTGCAAAACAAATTTACAAGTAAAACTCATTCCAGATGAAGACCAAAATCAGGAAGTGGATGAACAACCGGAACTTTCAGCCGGAGTTTACGGCTGGTCAATGCGAAAAAGATGCAGAAGAACAGGCAGAGGCACCCCGACTTCGAAATGACACCTAATTAGTCAACAGTTTCACAACATGTTTGCTGGAGAGGACAGTGAGGCTATCCAACCCCACCACCACTCTCCCCTTCATGGGATCCTGGAATCCATGCAGGGTAAACCACCTGGTACAACCACAAACAGCCAACCAACAAATGTTGGGGTTTGATTTGCAAAGTCCTGTAGGGTATTCACAACTAACTCCCTAACCCAGCTTGGCATTTGTAACGCATAATATCAACAAGTTGCAAAAGACACACAAGTTTTGGAAGTCAGGATATGAATACATTAACTAAAAATAGCAATTTGTGGAGAAAAAAGGGGGGTTGAGGGTCCTTTGGGCCAAATAGCTTTCTTAGAGACATCCGGTGTAAACAGCCACAATGGTGGTACGAACTGATGCTGATAAGGGAAAAACCCTTCTTGCGCGCTACTTGGAGCAAACTGACCAAAAAGACGAAGCTGCAAGAATAGGGGTTAAGATGAAACTGTCGATGCTGTGCGAGAACACTGAGCTAGGCTCTGATTTCACAATCACTGCAGACACCTTAAGAACTTGCCTCAAGAAATCGCGCAGCACTGCTCCAGGCCCTGACGGCATCCGATACAATGACATGCTGATGATGTCGAATGCTGATTTGAAAAGCGTGGCAAAGGAATTCAATATCAGCATCCAGAGTGGCCAGATACAAGAGGAATGGCTCCATAGTTATTTGTTCCCACTACCAAAGCCTAATAAAGACCACTCAAAGATCTGCGGCTACAGAATCATCTCGATGCAGAATACTGTTGGCAAACTTTTGGAAAAAATTGTCGCACAAAGATTGACCACCTACTTGGAACTACATGATAAGTTTCCATCAACACTTGGAGGGTACAGGTTGAAGAAAGAGACATGGTTCAATGCTGCAGTTTTCGCCTACGATGTGTACGAGGGATTTCAGATTAAAGAAGAGACATGTGCGGCAGTGTTGGACTTAGAAGATGCCTACAATAAAGTACCATATGATTATTTAATGCAATTACTGCTTAAACTAGAAGTCAATCCTATTCTGATCCGCTGGATTGCTGCGGTCCTGTTCCAGAGAAAGATTGTACTAAGATGTGGTAGCTGGTCCTCAGAACCGCAAACGATATGTCCAGGCTTGCCACAGGGATCACCGCTATCACCAGTCTTATTCAACGTTTATACGGTGATGATCACTGAGCAGCAGTTGAATGGAAAGGGAAGGACTTTGTCATTTGCTGATGACATTTTGATTTATCGACGAGGGCGTGATAGACAGGAGATCGCCAGCACAATGCACAAAGAACTCGATCGAATAGCCGCCTGGTGTGATGGTTCCAATGCCTATGTCAATCCTTCGAAGGCATCAGTGTCATGGTTCTCTTTGAACAATCACATTGTCAAGTCGGACTTACCAGAAGTGAAAATGCGTGATAAGGTATTGATCAGAACCAACGCTATGACGTTTCTCGGGGTGAGGTTCGATCGCAGCTTGTCATTCAGGGAACACGTTGACCATGTAATAACAAAAGCACGCAAAGGTCTATCTGCAATGAGGATTATGGCTGCTTCCAATATCGAGCAGAGACTACTAATACTTCTATTCTACGGTCTGGTCCTTTCACCCATTGAATACGCTCTGGCCATCCTCACTGTCAGTGCTACCCAGACTGAACGACTCAAAAAGGTGCAAAATGAAGCCATGCGCATTATTTTGGGATGTACGAGAGACACATCCTGTGGAGCAATGAGGTATCTACTTGACTTTCCAACAATGAACCAAAGGATCAGGATGTGGAGGGCTCGGGCATACCTCAAAATATGTGCTGATAAGAAACACCCACTGCATCAAGCGCTTTTTAGTGAAAAGGGCGACAGACTGAAGAGGGGAAAATCGTGGCTAGGTCGGGCAGAAGATGTTATTAGGCAAATATGCAGCCTAACCGACATCATACCTGGTGCAGAATGGATACCTGTGCCTCAGGCGTTTATTTGTACATTTTCCTGTATTGTCACACTCAACAGGCGATGTAAAGAAGAGAATCCTGTTGCTGTTAATGCAGAGGTCAACGCTCTCATCGGTGAAAATTTAGACGAAGCAGATGCAATAATCTATACAGACGGATCCGTTATACGCCAAAGAAGAAGCGCATGGGCATTTACAGCACGCTCAGCGGGCAAAACAGTCAAAGAAGCCAACGGCGCCTTCTCCATGACAACCAGCAGCATGACGATGGAGGTGATGGCAGTGACGCAAGCGTTTGCCTGGCTTGAAACACAAAAATACACCCGCATATGTATACTCAGTGATTCAATGAGTATGATCCGGAGGGTTCAGGCAGGTTCAGTGCGAAGACAATGGCTTGAATCAATTCAGAAGTCCACTGTGCGTGGAGTCACCTTTATTTTTGTTCCGGGAAACGCAGGCGTTGATGGAAATGAAAGAGCTGACAGGTTGGCTGGATCCGCTATCACTACCGACGGTCAGCCTATGGATCATGATGATATTATCAATGCCCTCAGAGAAATGGGAAGGATAGAGGACTTTGGTGGCAGTGAATCCAGATCACTCGCCAGAATGGCAGACTTGGGAATTAAGATCGGCACAGCAAAAAACGAGACGCACACCGGACACGTCAGAAGACTTGTTAATCAACATAGAACTGGTACTATTAGCCATCGGACGTTGGGATTCATACTGAGGGGAGGATCTGAGCACCTATGGGCATGTCCGGAGTGCAATGATGATAACCCAACTAACTAACTAACTAGCTTTCTTAAAGCCAAAATGGTGTAAAACTTTCAGTAAACCTCAGTAACAGAGGTCTCAGCCTGAGGTACCTGATACATGTTTTTAAGGGTCTGGGAAATGTATTCCATTTAATGCTTCACAATGTTTGTGTTTATTGATTGCTCCCTTCATATATATATATTTACATATTTCAGCAACAACCAAATCTAGATAAATAAATATTCAATACATTTTTTAAAACACATTAAAAAAAACATTTTTTTAAAGAAAAATGTTTTTCTTTCTGGAATTCCAATGGGGGTCATGACCTGTTTTTGTTTTGTTTTGTTAGTGTTCTGGGTTGACAGTGTTAAATCAGCACTGTTGTAGGGATCAGAAACATGGAGAAGGACTAAAAAAACAATCATGAGTAAGCTACAAATATTCTGCACTGGCACCTGTAAGCATAGGAATGTCAAATTATAGTGAAATCAATTATTACTTCATTAATTCATTCACCTACATCTTTCTATGTCCTCTGGCTCTGCTGTCCTGTAATCTCCCACTTTAAGCTAATATTCAGCTAAGACAGACAAAACATGAAACTGAGACAAGACACCTGTCTGAGCTAGGCACCACAACTTGGTCCACTCCCAGGTAGTGAGCTGTCCTGAGGATAGCACCAAAGTTCATCGGATCCTGAAAAATTCAACTCAAATAAAAATGGTGCCTTTTCCACAATGAGGCAGGCTGCGATTTGTCCACTGGTAACTATGGAATACCACATGCCACCCTTGACCCACTGTATGAAGGCACAAAAAAGGTTTTTGTCCAAACCCCCACTGAGGGAAATCTAACCCGGGTAAATCCCGAGTACTGTGTTGTGAAATTATTTCACTAACCATGCAGCCGCAATGTTGGCACCATACTATAACCCCACAACAACCAATCATTAACTACTGCCTGCGTAAAACTAAAGTAATTAAATGGTATGAGAGAATCACTAATGTGGAGCTTTCGGCTAGAACTAAATGAATTCCACTGAATCAAGTGGTGAGGAAAAGACACTGGTGTTTTATAGGATGCAATTTGGGAAAACATGGTATCAATATAAATAGACTTTCTTTGCACTGGAAGCCACAGAGTAAAACAAATAAACGGCACACCCAAAAATACAAAACAAAATCACATGGAGAAAGGAATTACAGTGAAGTGAAAAACAGAGAACAGAACCAATTCTGGATTACATACGAAGACAGCAAGTGAAATGGTTTGCCCACTTAGAGAGAATACCTTGTGACACCATACCATACAAAGCATACATAGAAAGAGAAAAAGGACGTAGAGCACGAGGTAGACCAAGAACAGCTAGAAACAGAACCTTATATCTCCCTCGACACCCACAGCAGTAAAAGAGGAAGTGAAGAAGAAGAAGAAGAAGAAGAAGAAAAACAGAGAGATAGGTATTTTGGTTTTTGATGACAGGAAGTCTTTGTTCAGTGGCCAATGCACCCATATAATAGCTCAGGCACTGGCTGTAACTGAATAGTGACTGGGCATACCCAAAAATGTTTGTTTTTTAAAATAAATATTATGTGGAAAAGGGGGGGGGGGAAGGGGGGGGGGAGACATATTTTACAAATGTGTCATTATGGTTTACATCATAATATTCTCATATGATGCCACTTTGCTTCCAGTGGCAGTAAAAAAAAAATCATGTTTATCATGGTCAAAGGGAAGGAAAGAGTTAGTGCTTTGCTCTGTTTGCATTTAGTGATTAACCCCTTACTGAAGAAATAATGTAAGCAAAATTATAACAGTAAAACTTAATATGAACTATTTTAGTGATTTGATGGGGGAGTTGTAGCTGTGGACTTCATGCTTGCCTGTCTGCACAGTGGCCTAGGGGTTTGACCCTCCTGGATGTTTAATAAAACAGTCCAAATTTGTTCTGCTTCTTCTTCTCTTCTCTGGCCGAATGTAAGAGGGGCCTGCAATCCCAATTTGTAACCCTTTAAAAATAAGTTTGTTCATTCATTCATTCTTTTGTTCCTTTGATTTTCTTAAGGCAGAGTTTCAGAGAATGTGGCGAAGTTGTCAAGCTTTTTGCCTCGTGCTCTGAAAGTCGTGGGGTTGTTCCACGGCTGTGCACTTTAGTTCTCGAGTGCAATTTTCATGGAGATCCCTGGGGATTGTCACCAGAGCTTTGGAGTTCGTGCTCTGTGCGGTGCTCTCGGCAGGTAACTAGTGGTTCTGCGGTTCAAGCCATATGAGGTTAAAGCTAGTGCAATGAAGTTGTTCCTCTTAACTTTAACCTTTAACTTCTCAATAAAGAAAATTTCAAGAGGGCCAAGATTTTTATGGGGCAAACCAAAAAGAATTAACAAAGCAGTTATGGGAGCCTGCAGCAGCAAAAAACTCTCAGATCAGCCCAACCGTAAATGGGTACCAGGTTAAGTCCTGGGAAGTAAAGGTGGCCGGCACAATGTTGACCACATCACCCACTGAGTGCTCACTGATCCAAAAACATGGGTCCAGCACTACATACCCAGTTTGCCTAAAGATATGGAAAAGGGTCCTTTACTTTACTGACCAAGCAGTTGCTGTGTAATGTACAGGTTATGATATTTCAATACCCTGAGTATTGTGACGGATCAAACACATGTCCAAGATGTATGGTGTGGACATTCTAATTCCTGTGGCATTTATTCTTCTCCACAGCTACCACATACACATTCAATTGACTACCTATCTGTATGTGATACATGTGCGTATGCATGCCTGTGTCTGTGTGTGTATAAGAAAATAAGCAAAAGAGAGAGAGAGAGAGGGAGGGGAAACAGAGAGACAGACAGACAGACAGACAGACAGACAGACAGACAGACAGACAGACAGACAGACAGACAGACAGACAGACAGACAGACAGACAGACAGACAGACAGACAGACAGACAGACAGACAGACAGACAGAGATGCAAACACCCATACAGAAAACAGTTACACACACTTTTCTGATGAAACTGCAAAATAAACTTTAGCCAAATATTCTGGTGTCCAGCTGTGCAGCTAAAGCTTTGGTGTCACCAGTGTTGACCTAAGAACTCATATCCCAGCTCTCATGACATTCTCATAAGCACTCCGTCCTCATCTTCAGCTAGAAGTTATAATTCCGACGCTGCTAGCAGCAGTTTGATTATATGTCTGTCTTGCCTTTTTATTCAACTGGCAGCCTGCGGGTCAAATCTGGCCCATGGAGGTCAAGTAAGTGGCCCGCAAATCACTGCCTGTTGGATTGTATTAATTTTCTTACTAGGCTGAGGCTTCGGACTCTGGTCCGTGACAATTCTCATTTTCAAAATGATGACCCTTAGTTAAATAGCGCTGGTGTCAAGAGTTGACTAAATCCCCAGGTCACTCTTAGTTATGCCATTCTCTCCAGAGTATAATGATCTTTTTGTGCCTCTGCATAATTCACTTGCTCCCAAATCTAGCTTGTCATGCATAAATTCACACCCACTGGTCCACAACCAGCCAGTCGGTCTGACTGTTCACTTCCCAACACTCCTGTATCCCTGGATAAAGTGGTGTCGCCAGTCATGGGCCACCCTTCAATAATCCTCTCTTTTAAGAGGCACAGTATTTTTACTATTTTGCTTCCCCACTGAGCATCTGTAAGACATGAGCATACAAGATAAAAGGCTTATTAACCGCCATGAACAAAGAACACAGACATTGTTTTCTTACCTGCACATTATGCAGCAGCAGCCAAAGTGGCAAGCTGGTAGACCTGTAGGACAAAGGGAGAATAATGCAGAAACTGCCTCTACAATTTTAGATCTAAAAATATACTATTCAGTGTGTCCGATACATTTATCTCTTCTTCTTCTTCTTTGCGTTCAACGGCTGTGAACTTACGCCGAAAGTTCTGGGCGTTCGACCACTTCTGGACTTTAGTCTTGTTCCAGAAGTTCAGTAGTGTGTGTACATCTCAAAAGAAATCTCTTGAAAGTAACGTTTCCCTGTTATAAATTTTAATAATAAAGACATTTATTGCACAGTGACTGTCTGGCATATTTCATGCATCTCTTTAGGTGCATTACTACAGAGCTGACATCAACATGTTATGAAGCACAATAGCTCATTGTGACCATTTCACCATAACCATTAAAACAAAGGTTTATGTCACACCTTAAATATGTTAACATAATTAAGACATAAGGATGTTTAGCTCATAAATACATCATGACCGTTTATCACAACCACTAAAACAAACGTTTATGTAACATAATAAAGATCTTTACACTGTAAATAAGTTTACCCCATAAATAAGGATGTTAACTTCATAAATAAAGATGTTTACCTCATCAGCACATCAGAAGTATTCCACTCTGGCACCTGCAGCTCTTCCACTTCTAAGCACACTCCCTGAAGTACAGAAAAAAAAAAAGCACATTTACATACCACAGTAGCACAACAGAGATATAGAACCAGACTGATTGACCGAACAGCACATTTCTGGATTCATTGAAATTTGTGGAACCCTCTGGGCCTTGAGATGCTGCCATTTCAGCATTTGCTTGTACGTTGCACATCCCAGACAAGATGCTAAACTGGCATTGCTGCATTGGCCGGTCACCAACAAGCCCAGTTATAAGTTCAGTTCTTTTTTTTCCTTCTTTTAAGTTGTTGCCCTCCAGATTTGCATTCTGTAGGCTTAACATCTCGAGGATGAGAACCAAACAAGTACAAATCTCTGAAACCCCATTCAATCGTACAGCCATATAGCACAGTTATTTTGGGCCACCACAAAAAAGAAACCTGTAGTCCAGTGTGTGTGTGTGTGTGTGTGGGGGGGGGGGGGGGTCTGCTGTCTTGGAACAAGACCAAAGTCTAGAAGTGGACGAACAACCAGAACTTTCTGCTATAGTTTACAGCCGGTAAATGCTCTGAAGAAGAGATTTTGTTAATTTTGAAAGACATACAGGAGGCATTTAACTGTTTGTCATATAATACTATTTGACATTCAAACCTACGGGTCATTCAAAAGGATTCTCTCTTGGACACTTCAAACAACTTTGACATTTATTAGGGCCCTCATCTTTTGAACATTATAACAACCCCCAGCACCCGTATAGGACCTGAGGCCCTATTGTAGGGGGTGGGGGAAGAATAGGCCCACTGCCTCACCAACAAGTATATCGTAAGAGTAAACTAATTAGGGACTTCCTTCGAAGTCAGAGTGCATCTGCCTGAGAGGCAAGGAACCAACACTCTGCATACAAAAAGTCAGATCTGTAAAATGGATGTGCACTAACACATGCAGAAGAAGACGAAAATTAAAACACATGTGTCAAATTAAGTTAATAGTGCACACCTTTGATAAAAGTAACTGATGTAGGGGTGGGCTGATAAAAGTAACTGATGTAGGGGTGGGCCGATAAAAGTAACTGATGTAGGGGTGGGCTGATAAAAGTAACTGATGTAGGAGTGGGCCGATAAAAGTAATTGATGTAGGGGTGGGCCGATAAAAGTAACTGATGTAGGGGTGGGCCGATAAAAGTAACTGATGTAGGGGTGGGCCGATAAAAGTAACTGATGTAGGGGTGGGCCGATAAAAGTAACTGATGTAGGGGTGGGCTGATAAAAGTAACTGATGTAGGGGTGGGCTGATAAAAATAACTGATGTAGGGGTGGGCCGATAAAAGTAATTGATGTAGGGGTGGGCCGATAAAATGAATTGATGTAGGAATGGGCTGATAAAAGTAACTGATGTAGGGGTGGGCCGATAAAAGTAACTGATGTAGGGGTGGGCTGATAAAAGTAACTGATGTAGGGGTGGGCCGATAAAAGTAACTGATGTAGGGGTGGGCTGATAAAAGTAACTGATGTAGGGGTGGGCCGATAAAAGTAACTGATGTAGGGGTGGGCCAATAAAAGTAATTGATGTAGGAGTGAGCCGATAAAAGTAACTGATGTAGGGGTGGGCTGATAAAAGTAACTGATGTAGGGGTGGGCTGATAAAAGTAACTGATGTAGGGGTGGGCCGATAAAAGTAACTGATGTAGGGGTGGGCTGATAAAAGTAACTGATGTAGGGGTGGGCCGATAAAAGTAACTGATGTAGGGGTGGGCTGATAAAAGTAACTGATGTAGGGGTGGGCCGATAAAAGTAACTGATGTAGGGGTGGGCCGATAAAAGTAACTGATGTAGGGGTGGGCCGATAAAAGTAATTGATGTAGGGGTGGGCCGATAAAAGTAATTGATGTAGGGGTGGGCCGATAAAAGAAATTGATGTAGGAGTGGGCTGACAAGTAACACAGACTTGTCCTCCTCATGGTTTCTGGTCACAACATTTCTATGGGCTGTCTACTCCAGTCATAAACAGCATATTCTTCTTCTTCTTCGCGTTCACCAGCTGTAAACTCTGGCGGAAAGTTCTGGTTGTTCATCCTCTTCTGGACTGCAGCCCTGTTCCTGAGCCTTACATGTGCATCCGTTTTACATATCTGACTCATCTGTATGCAGACTGCTGGTTCCTTGCCTCTAAGGCAGATGCACTCTGACTTTGAAGAAAGCTCCCAGTTAGTAGACTCTTACGACATGCTTTTGGATAGGCAGTGGGTCTATTCTTGTTTTCCCTATAATAGGGCCCTGGAACCCACACAGGTTACAGCATATTTATACCAACACTCCTAACAGTGCCAAACATGAACATTATTAAAGGCGAACCTACATAAAATTAACACGTCACATGAGATCACACATCAAATGAGATGAGATGTCTGAGGAAAGCCGGCAACTTAACCACCCGAGTGAGAAATTACATTACCAGCAGGCTGTGGGAAGAACACCTTGCACTGCACCAAATTTACTGAGAAACAGATTAAATAATTTGGTCACACCATTAGAATGCAGTTCCAACTACCAACACAGCCATTACACTTTAAAAGATCTTTTATGAATGCAAGAGGGTGAACAATGAAAATATAGACTGATGACTTTTAAAGACACTGTATGCCCACATGCAATGACAACAGCCAGTGCTACCCATCATGTGCCAGGTGGCAAACTGTTTCTTACAATGACAGCTTTTGGCAAAACTGTAAGTTGATGATGATGATGAACTGTGAGATTTCTGCAAAGTTTGGTTTTGGCTTAAGATAGCAATTTTCCCTGGTGTACAACTATGTCATCTGACAATTCCTGCATGACTTACAAAATAACTAGCATTTAAATTGCTGCCACCCGAGGTCAGGTACAGTGTATCCTTTATTTATGCCGCACAACAGCTTAAATCTACCACCCGAGGTCAGGTGTGGGGTATCCCTTATATATGCCACACAACAGCTTTAATCTACCACCTGAGGTCCGTTATGGGGTATCCCTTATATATGCCACACAACAGCTTTAATCTACCACCCGAGGTCAGGTGTGGGGTATCCCTTATATATGCCGCACATTAGCTTTAATCTACCACCTGAGGTCAGGTATGGGGTATCCGTTATATATGTCACACAACAGCTTTAACTCTTTGAGTCCAAGAGGGTTTAGCATCACAGGCCCAAGGGGTAGTCAAAAGAGACATAAAATCGGCGCATCATGCGTTCATTGGGCTTCTAGGCAGTAACCTATGAACGTATGATGCGTTCCTTGGGACTCAAAGAGTTAATCTACCACCTGAGTTCAGGTATGGGGTATCCCTTATATATGCCGCACAACAGCTTTAATCTACCACCTGAGGTCAGGTATGGGGTATCCGTTATATATGTCGCACAACAGCTTTAATCTACCACCTGAGGTCAGGTATGGTGTATCCCTTATATATGCCGCACAACAGCTTTAATCTACCACCCGAGGTCAGGTATGGGGTATCCCTTATATATGCCACACAACAGCTTTAATCTACCACCTGAGGTCTGGTATGGGGTATCCCTTATATATGCCGCACAACAGCTTTAATCTACCACCTGAGGTCAGGTATGGTGTATCCCTTATATATGCCGCACAACAGCTTTAATCTACCACCCGAGGTCAGGCAAGGGGTATCTCTTATATATGCCACACAAGTTTTAATCTACCACCTGAGGTCTGGTATGGGGTATCAGTTATATATGCCGCACAACAGCTTTAATCTACCACCCGAGGTCAGGTATGGGGTATCAGTTATATATGCCGCACAACAGCTTTAATCTACCACCTGAGGTCAGGTGTGGGGTATCCCTTATATATGCCGCACATTAGCTTTAATCTACCACCTGAGGTCAGGTATGGGGTATCCTTTATATATGCCACACAACAGCTTTAATCTACCACCTGAGGTCAGGTAGGGGGTATCCTTTATATATGCCACACAACAGCTTTAATCTACCACCTGAGGTCAGGTAGGGGGTATCCGTTATATATGTCGCACAACAGCTTTAACTCTTTGAGTCCCAGAGGGTTTAGCATCACAGGCTCAAGGGGTAGTCAAAAGAGACATAAAATCGGCGCATCATGCGTTCATTGGGCTTCTAGGCAGTAACCTATGAACGTATGATGCGTTCGTTGGGACTCAAAGAGTTAATCTACCACATGAGGTCAGGTATGGGGTATCCTTTATATATGCTGCACAACAGCTTTAATCTACCACCTGAGGTCAGGTATGGGGTATCCGTTATATATGTCGCACAACAGCTTTAATCTACCACCTGAGGTCAGGTAGGGGGTATCCATTATATATGCCGCACAACAGCTTTAATCTACCACTTGAGGTCAGGTATGGGGTATCCTTTATATATGCCACACAACAGCTTTAATCTACCACCTGAGGTCAGGTGTGGTGTAACCCTTATATATGCTGCACAACAGCTTTAACCTACCACCCGAGGTCAGGTATGGGGTATCCCTTATATATGCCGCACAACAGCTTTAATCTACCACCTGAGGTCAGGCAAGGGGTATCTCTTATATATGCCACACAACAGTTTTAATCTACCACCTGAAGTCAGGTATAGGGTATCAGTTATATATGCCGCACAACAGCTTTAATCTACCACCTGAGGTCAGGTAGGGGGTATCCATTATATATGCCGCACAACAGCTTTAATCTAAAACTTGAGGTCAGGTATGGTGTATCCTTTATATATGCCACACAACAGCTTTAATCTACCACCTGAGGTCAGGTGTGGTGTATCCCTTATATATGCTGCACAACAGCTTTAATCTACCACCTGAGGTCAGGTATGGGGTATCCCTTATATATGCCACACAACAGTTTTAATCTACCACCTGAGGTCAGGTATGGGGTATCATTTATATATGCCGCACAACAGCTTTAATCTACCACCTAAGGTCAGGTGTGGGGTATCCCTTATATATGCCACACAACAGTTTTAATCTACCACCTGAGGTCAGGTATGGGGTATCCCTTATATATGCTGCACAACAGTTTTAATCGACTGACGAAAAATCCCCACCACATCACATGTGCTGCCTGGTATAAACTGACACCAGCAGATCACAAATAATGAGCTGGTGGGACAATAAGTGTTTGAAAATTTAAAAAAAAAAAAGAACAACATAGTGAATAGTGAATTAAACATAACTATCAATACCTGATGAGGTCTGCTTCCAGACAAATGGTCCAAGAGATTTCTGGCCACAAAATGCACGGGAAGATTACGCTGGGATGCCAGCTCACAAATCTGGTCTATGACTGAATTTCTGTTTTCTGATTAAAGCATACAAAAATAAAAGACGTAATTCGCTCTATAGGCTCCAGTAAAAAAAACTGGCAAAAGAATTTAAAAAAAAAAACAAAGCAGTCTTCTTCTTCTTTGTGTGTTTGCTTTCTGATTTACACTGACAAACAGGTTCTTGTGATAAACTTGCTTTTTTAGGAGTTCCCTTTTAGCGCCATAAACAAAAAAGGTAGCTGTCAAAAATAGCAAATACTTTACAATACATTAAAACAAATGGAAGATATATATAAAAGGCCATTATGGGAGTTTATAGCAAAGGGGAATGGACATCGCTTAGTGTAACAAAGCTTGGCATATGATATCACAACGTCTAGTTTGAGAATGGAGTTGGAGGCATTCCGCTGGCTTGAGAATCAGCGTTACACACATGCCGTGATGTCACTGACTCACAGAGCATGCTGAAAAAGGTGGAGACAGGTATGCTCCGAGCAAAGTGGCAAGCATCTCTTCAGAGATCCAGGATAGTTTGTATCCTTTGGATATTCTTTCCAGGTCATGCCTGTGTGTTGGGAATAAAAGGACATATAGACTGGTCGGTTCTGCACTACTTGGTGGTGAATTGATGTATGACAAGCTAGACATTGTGAGGGCCCTCTGCGCAAATAGATCATTACGGTCTGAGGAGAATGGGGCTACAAGGAGTTACCAGGGGATCTGGCTGAGGCTCAACACTCAAGAAAAGGGAGAGACGGATATACAATCTGACAGCTACTGGTGCCATCAGAACTGGAACTCTTCATTTGCTGCTGAAGATGGGGACGGAGCGCTTATGGGAGGGGGGGGGTTCCCAAGTGCTATGATATCGATTCTTAGTTCAACATTCAACTGAAACATATAAACCACGAGTGTGGTCCAACCAAAAGCAAAGATGGCACAATGCTCACATCAGATGCTGAGCTGAGGCAAAGAGGGCAGAACATTTTAAGGAGACCTTAAACAGACCTGACCCACCAGATTGTAGCTAAAATGGTCCATATTTCTATTGGTTTGTTCTCTAGCCTGACATCTAACTGGTCTGTTGATGGTATCTTTAATATATTTGTTTTCTCATAACTTAGTTGTATCCAATTTTTTATGTTGTAGACCACAAATCGTCAATTTTTCTTTCAGCCTAGCTGAAAAATCCATAACCTTAGTGAGTATTCAAACCAGGATCGCTTCCAAGAGAACCCAGTGTTTTTGACCGCTCGACTAGCCACACCTCGATATGTGTGTGCACTCGTGTGTTATGTGTGCATGCCTGGGTGTGCGAGTGTGTAGAGTCAGTGTTGTCCAGAACAGGTTGGTGAATAGTGACTAGTCTCTGATGCCAATATGATTAGGTGACCTGGGAGTGGCAAGTGACCAAGCACATCTGTGCCATCTTCGAGGACAAGAAAGGAAACATTATAACCATATTTTCATAAAAACAGACAGCAGGTGTACTTGATTATGGCTGCTGCATTAGAAGACAGATGATGATGATGATGATGATGATGTTCAACCCCACCAAAACCCCACATAAACACACAGTGACACAAAGTGCCAGCATTCAGATAATGATCACCTGTTGAACCCATAAGTTGGGTTATATTAGGGCCCCTGGAAATAGCCAGGGTGGGCCCTTTAATCATCATCATCATCATCATCAGGTGCCTTGCTGACTGGCGTGGGCGATCATGCCTCTCCATAATCTGCGATCTCCTGCAGCATGTATCAGTTTGTGTGCCGACACACCTCCATGCCATGCAACAAGACTGTCAAGCATCTTCTCTCATTGTCTTCCTCTATCTCTCCTTCCACATATCTTTCCAGTGGTCACATGTTCTATTTTCCCTCTTCTCATAACATGGCCAAAAAATAATGACTGTCTCTTTATACAACAAACAAAAAAATGATGTCTAACATTGGGACACAGATCTTATATTCAGTAATGTTGGAGGACAGATTATGCAAGTGAAAACACAATATGCACTGATGTCAAATGTGATAACACGACACAGTTTATACCTGCAGATTCAAATTTCTGATCTAGATAAACACAATGAAAGGCTTTTCTCTTGTTTGCCTGTAAGGCCAATGCTATCGGGTGAAGGCCAAACAGGACCTCTCCTTGAACTTGTGGGGCCGAGGATGCTGGTAAACTTGACCTAATGAGAAAAAGAAGAGAACAGCTGACTCATTCATCATTTCATCTGTGCTTCGTCAGATTCTATACAGGAGTATGGCTATCTCATGCTGTAAAGAAACTGCAGCTGTGAAATCCAGGTTTTTTTTTTTTTTTTTACGGCGCCGTCTACACACAACGGAGACTGGCTGCCATGTATTCACTGAATGTTGAATGTTAAATTAAGAACCCACATCATAGCACTTTGTAAGCTCCCATAAGTGCTACATCCCTATCTCCAGCAGCAAGTGAATGGTTCCAATTCTGATAGCACTAGTAACTGTCTGATTATACATCTATCTCGCCTTTCCTCTGAGTGCTATGCATCAGCCAGATCCCCTGGTTACTCCCTGGCAGAGCCATTCTCCTCAGACCATAATTATCTGTTTGTGCCTCCTCACTGTTCACTCGCTCCTAAAGAGCCCTCACATCATCTAACTTGTCACATATCAATTCACCACAAAGTGGTGCAGAACCGGCCAATCTATCTGACTGCTAATTTCGCAACACACCAGCATCACCTGGAGAAAATATCCAAAAGATGCTAACAACCCGGGACCTGTTAAGTGATGCTTGCCACTCTGCATGGAGCATGCCTGCCTCCACCTTTCTCAACACGCTCTTCACTGTCTTCACTGTTAACTATAGGAACATTACACAGTGAGGCCCGAGAGTCACCCACCGTGTGACTCTTGTACTGCCGTCAATAAACATAGGAACTGTTTTTTTCTAAACAATCTACCATGGGAACTGAACTCTTAGTTTTAGTCGGGGCTTCAACTTCATTCCAGTCAGGTCACCCTGTACTTGCTCCGTTGCTGTGAAAGTGAAAATCAAATGAAATGTCCCTCACTTTCCCATTTGAAAAACTGGTAACAAAACAATCAGACCTGGAACAATCCAGAAATATGTGCACATTGTAAAATACAAATGGAAGTTGCTAGAGGCACTAAAGCCAACAGTCATCACCAGAAATGCACTTTGTCATTGATGGAAGTAGTCAGGCACGATAAGTTGGCTTTACACAGGTAGAATTATTACATAAGGTATTTCACCAGCCCACACATAAACCAGCTATGGTAACATTTAATATGACTCAACCATTGCACAAATGAAAGGCATTCCACATTAAAAACACAGCTCACAACTCTGGTAACATTAATTAAGTTCGGTCTCCATGGTGTAGTCCGACCTCTACTATTTTATAAAGATGTGTGCAAGTGGGACATGAATGATACAGATATTGAGGCGGACTCCTGGGAACAAAATCCCATGGACCGTGTTGTGTGGAAAGGGCATATCAGGAAGGGAATGAGACTGAAGGAAGAAATTATTTCAGAAAGGATGAGAGCTGAGCGTCTGAAAAGAAACGGATTAAACACAAATGTTGTTAACAATGGTCCTGAAATCCCATGCTATCATTATGGAAGACTTTTCTTGACCCGCGGTTCTTGCTAGTCACACTCGCCATCACCATGGACTGTGAGTCTCATGCCTCCTCATAGCGCAATATAACACTATCGTCTAGAAAGACGGAAAGGTGTCAATTTTGATGCCATGGTGTAGTGCTGAAGCTGTTTGCATCACGCTATGAAAGTCACGGGTTCGTTTCATGGCTGCATTTTACAGAGTGATGAAGTCGTTTCTTTCACACTTGACTATTGAACCAGTAATTATGGAGCTTGATATGAGCTGGTTGACTAGAGGTTGATCAGGTAAGCGATGGATAGATAGAATATCTGAGGACATTAATACCAGCCTCTATGTAGCTCAAACCAAGGCTCGCACATAATGCCTTTTCAAAACCTGACCCTGAAAGGTAGAATAAGACTAAAGGAGGAGGAGGAGAAGGAGGAGAAGAAGAAGAAGAAGAAGAAGAAGAAGAAGAAGAAGAAGAAGAAGAAGAAGAAGAAGAAGAAGAAGAAGAAGAAAAGGAAGAAGAGGAGCAAGAAGAGGAGGACGAGGAGGTAAAAGAGGAGAAGTTGAAGGAGGAGGAGGAAGAAGAAGAAGAAGAGGGACCATACTTAACTGGGAGATAAAAAGATAAGAAGACAGCTAAGAACCATTCCACAAAAACACTAACAAACCTTGATTTTCCCTTGCCAGATAATCCATAGTTGTAATCTGGCTGGAAAGATGACAAACAACGCATAGCATAGCTCAGTCTACACCATGTACGTCTGATAGTAGGCGGAAGTAATGACATTGTCGCAGCTGTAAAAATGATTTTTTTTTAAATTGTTTAGATTAACTGCCTCAAAGCAACATAACAGAACTAATGATTGGCTCTGTAGAAGACAGCAAAATTCAATGAATTGTATAATTTTGTAAACTGTAAGTTAATTTTTTCCCAACCCGCCACGCAGTGGGCCTTGCAAGCAAACGGAGTGATTGACTACTACTTCACAAGATGTGACACATACAGGGCCTGTACATCTAAAGTCCTAATAGAAAGATGTTTGCAAAAATATTGAAATTTAGAGCTCGACCAGTATTAACACCCCAGTTAAGTAAGAGACAGTTAAGTTCAAGGAAGGGAAAGAGCTGTACAGATGCGATAGTTGCTTTAAAGCATATATGCAAGCAGTCTATTATAGGATAAAAGTCAACACCTTATATTTATTGATCAAGAGAAAGCATTTGATCGAGTCAATAGATGCAAACTGTCAATTTCTAGAAGATTATGGTATTCAAGATCAACTGTTGGATAACATCATGGCTCTTTATCAAGATAGTCAGTGCACAGTGAGAACAATAGAAGGAATGACAGACTGGTTTCCCATCACATCACGTGTCAGACAGGAATGTTGCTCTCACCGTTGCTATTCATTACTTACATGGATAGAAGTACAAAGCAGGCAAATACAGACACTGAAGAAATCAACAAACTTCTTTTTTGCAGATGATCAGTGTCTAATACACCACAAAGAACAGAATTTACAACACCATATTGACTCCTTACATCAAACCTGTACAAAGTATGACATGAGAATAAACTGAGGTAAAGAAGATAGGCAGGAAACATAATATCATGAACTTAATGTTAACGGTACTAAAATCAAACAAGTATGAGTAATCAAAAATCTAGGAAGCGTATTTACGGAGAATGGCAGACTCGATAGATAGATAGAAGCCAGAGTACTGAAGGCAAATGCTGTCACCTACCAGTTAGCCCCACTGCTTAGACACCCAAACGTCTCCCTTCTAGAAAAACAACAAATGATTAATAGTTTCTTTATCCCTACTTCATGCTACCTGTGCCAAACATGGACAATAAATAGAGCACTAAAACAGAAAACAGCTACATGTGAAATGCGCTGTCTACACAAGGTCCTGAGGTACTGAGGAAATTAGGAATGAAAAGAGAGTTGCTAGGTGAAATAAAAAAGAGACAAGTGAAATATTTTGGCCACATTAAAAGACATAACAGTATTGTAAAGACCATCCTAGAGGGAAGGGTTCAAGGTAGGCGAGCAAGAGGCAGACAGTGTTACAAGTGGGAGGATAACATCAAGAGATGGACGAACAGCAGTATGAGTGAGTGTACATCAAGGGCAAGAGACAGGGCTTGTTGGAGATCCATTGCAGCCAACCTTCATTGTGGAAACGGCACCTGATTGATTGATTGACACAAGGTCCCAAACAACACCAGAAGAGACAGGGTTACAAATACCATCATTAGAGAGAAAATTGAAAAAGACCATGTCTGGATTATACTGACAGACAAAGAATGAAATGGTTAGGCCACCTAGTGAGAATGCAGCCTGACCAAACTGCATATAAGACTTTTACAGCAGAACATCTGGGAGAAAGGCAAGGGGAAGACCAAGAAATAGATGGATTAATTGTGTAGCTAAACCTGTAAAAGAATGAACGAATCCATCACCTAAGCCACCCGAGAAGCACAAGACATATACAGAAAACCATGACACTGGGCTACAACCTGGTATCAGTGAGACAAAAAAACAAACAAACAAAAAAGTCATGGTGGAGCTTTAAAGCAACAAAAAAATTGTGTCCCACATTGAGACAGTAATTACTAACTACAGACCCGATGCCCTCTAACAATCATGACACAAAAGTAAACTAATTAAGGGTTTTTCTTCAAAGTCAGTCCACCTGCCTGACAGGCAAGGAACCAACAGTCTCCATATAAAAAAATCCAGATATGTAGAAGGGTATGTATGAAAACTCCAGTTCAGGAACAAGATTGAAGTCCAGAAGTAAATGAGCTAGAATTTTCCATCTGAATGTACAGCCGGTGAACATAAACAAGAACAAGAACAGGATTAATGTATGTGACAATTGCTACTAGTACTACTGTTAAGTACTACTCTTACTTGATATAGCAGTTATAAGTGTCCTAACGATTGCTTTTTTTTCCATGGTGGTTTGCAACACTTTACAAAACGAAACCATCCCCATTTTTGTAAAGGGGTTAATATGCCCCCTTTAAACATGTGTATAAATTATATTTTAAAGTATTAGTATATATATTTCATTTTATTTCAAATATATCATTATCTCCAAATGTGATTAGAAAAAAATTCTTGGGGGAAAGGGGGGCCCCAAGGGACCAGCCTACAGGTTATGGCACTTTTTCTCAAGACAGGGGGGAAAAAGCATAGGTTCTTATAATAATGTGTTAGTGGGCTGAATGGGGGATTATGTATTTGCCCCAGAATGAAGTAATGTTAATCACAAGGATGTCAAACCAGGAGGCAGTCCTAGAGTTGGGATTTGGTCAGATGAACATAACAGTAGCCTTCCTATACAGTAAATAAGACAATTGGTTCAAATAACGAAGTCAGGCCCAGGGAGACCGTGACCGGACGTTCATTCATGCGTCCTAACCTTTGATAGGTCTTAGTCTAATTACAGAGGAGTCAGGTTGTGTTCTGCTCTGTATATGTCGGCGGATGGACAGTTACACGTTCTGTTTTACTCGTTGTTCTGAGCGATTACGTATATTCTGGCATTCTTGGACTTCAATTTACTTCAGTCGTCAGCGTTAACAGCCAACAAGGAGAGGAGCATTGCTTTTCTGCGGCTACATGGTATCCTACTGTCAAGAAGATGTTGTTTGAAGAATCCTCTGATGGTGCCACTGCAAAATGTTAACATTTCTGAAATTACGGCACATAGGGTGCACTCTTGTGGGACGTAAGCTGAGTCTGTGGGGTGAAGGGTTGGGGTTAGAGCCAGTTCTAGATATTTGACACAATACAACCTGACACCGCTGTAGCTTAGACTAGCGGGTCTCAAAGGTTAAGATGCATGAATGAACGTCCAAGCACGATCTCTCTGGGCCTGACGTCGTTAGTTGTACCAGTAAATTAAATAATCTCTGAGTGAACATGAAATTGGGCTCTCCTTTAAATAACGGTCGCTAGCTGGAAGGTGACGGCCGCTTAGTCGGAGTTCACTTTGGCTGCAGTGCAATTACCGAGCGGACATGTCACAAATCAAAAAACAAAGTGAGGTCGACATGCCTGCTAGAGGTAGACCACGCGCTACGACTGACAGTAGCGACCGCGGTCTTGGGACGCAAGACTCTCGTAGACCACGCGCTGCGACTCAAATTAGCGACCGCGTTATTCCGACGCAAGACTTGGTGACCATAGATGTGGGACATGTGGATCTGTATGTCGTAATGAGCGATAAGCTTCCGTCGTTTCCGTGATGTGTTACCCAAACCCTACCACTAACCCAAACCCTACCCCAAATCCTAACCCAAACCCTAACCCTAGGATGACAGGTAACTATATCATTTGTTTCGTTCCCTGTTTTCCACTCCGTAATTGCACTGCAGCCAGGGGAGTGAACTCCGACTAAGCAACCGTCGCCTTCCAGCTAGCGACCGTTATTTAAAGGAGAGCAAATCGGCTGAAATTGTGACATTTGTTAAATTTTGTGGATAATTCAGATATTATCGCCTGGAACATAACCCGATGAGGCATTATACACACTAACATTTAAAAAGATTTAGATAATCTGCGTCCACAAACCGCAAAGTTAACTGTGATTTCACTTGTCGTTTTCCTGTCAGTAGATGATGGACAGAATGTAAGGAAGAACAGCACGTCTGCTGGTCGGTGGTAGTCGTCGATCTTCTGGATTTGGTGATCATATAAAGCTCAGTGTGCGAAATTCTTCGAGATTCCCGCCCAATTATCGCCCATATGAGAGGGCTCACCCTCCGAGTTTATCTGTAAAAGGGCGGCTGGCACGTTGAGTTGTAGTTCACAGCTAGGCTACGATTGTAGGGTCCCTCGCACAACAATAGGGCTCTAAACTGTGCCTAAATTAACTCACGAAATGAGGTAGAGACCTGTCCAGACGTCCTCCTTTCTTATCCAGGCTTGAGACTGGCGATTGAATTCATGGACGATTTAGTGAGAAGTTAACCCATGTATGCGGAGCAGAGGTAGCCGCGGTGACTATACAATTACCTGAGTATCTTGGTTTCGAATACCATAGAAGAGAGAGAGAGGGAGAGAGACAGAGACAGAGAGAAGATGGCATTGAGAAAGGGATTATAATTATTAAATCATATCACATCATAGGATAACTGAAGTATTTATTTATATAAGATGATAATTTTTATCAACATTGTGATATTTAAATTTTTTCTTCTTTGTTTTTCTTTGTGTTCACCGGCTGTAAACTCCAGCGGAAAGTTCTAGTTTTTTGCCCACTTCTGTATTTTAGACTTTTTCCGGAACCTGAGTTTTGCGTGTGCATCCGTTTTTGCAGATCTGACTTTGTATGCAGACTGTTGGTTCCTTGCCTTTCAGGCAGATGCATTCCGACTTCGAAGGAATCCCCCAATTAGTTGACTCCTACTAGTTGCTTGTGGGAGGGGGAGCTGGTGTCAGTGGGTTTATTCTTGTTTTCCACACAATGGGACCACGGAACCCATTGCAGGGAAATGTTAGGAAAGTTATTTGATTTTATCATGAAGTTTTGTGTGGCAGCTGGCAGCGCTCAACTGTCGACTGCTGCAATGAAGCTCTCCAACTTCTCCAACACTGCAGCTATGGCAGACAAGGGAAACTTGTGGGAAGGTCGGTGTTATTTTTCTTGTTACTTTCTCTTTATCATTTCGTCTGTATGATGCTCTGGTGGTAATTTCTGTCAGCATTATGTATACGTCCCCGCCTGCAAGTTCTGGATGTGTTTAAATTAGTGTATATTTCTCTATTTAACTGTTTGAGATCCGGTTTGATTTTGTTTACCTTCGTTTGCGTCTCTGGGAAGGTAATTTTGTTCAAACAAAATGCACTGTATTGTATTGTTTGCCACAAGCAATCTTCTTATCCATGTTTTTCTCTATTGGAGTACACGAAAATATGAAGTCGGCACTAATGGGTGATAATAAATCGTTAACATAGTATGTCATTAGCCTGCCGCCTTTGCTTACCAGGGCTCTTGGTGCCTTTTTTGGCTGGATAGACCAGGATTTGAACTGAACTACATACTTTGGAACTGGTAGCAAGCCACTGTGCTGAAAACGCTGAAATCTTAGAGCCGAAGTATTTTTGCTCCATTTGTAGACTGGATATAGTTTCGTCACCCAGCTTCTGAGTTGAATGCATGGCGTGACCCTGTGAGCTGCGGATTGCATTTGGAATGTATTTTCGACTGTGACCAACGTGGTGGTGTGAATTGTAGATTCAGAAAATGGTGTGATGCCTGTCGTGCAATGTTGGCGGTGCCCGTATCTGGTTAAAATTGATCGCGTGGACAACTGCTGAACTGTTGGCAACAAGTTCTGCTATCATCAATGATGAACTGCATTTCTAATGTTGGACTGTTTGTGTTAGCACTTCGGATGGCTACCCTATGCTTTAATGCGAGTGTATGCTAGATATGCTGAGACAGCAGTCTGTCAATCTTTCCACAAGGGACTGTGATAAACATTCCGGGTGTTTTTCGTTGGCACAGGAGCGGAGCAATGATGGGGCGACCCGTTGCTAGGAAGCTGAAACTAAGACTACCAGACTACCAGTGGAGGAACAACCAGAACTTTCTGCCGGAGATTGCAGCTGGTGAACGCAAAGAAGAAGAAGACTTAGTTGATCCTTTTCTAACCTTGGGGTGTAGAGGTTTTCCTGAGAGATCACCATATTTTTCTCTCTGCAGTTTTCTTTTTGGCTTTGTTCCATCCCAGTCTTCTATCAGTCAGATGTTGTCTTCCCAGCAAACCCTGGGTCACCCTGGAGGTCTGATTCTCTTGTTCGTGGTCACCTGTGCCTGCCATGGTGGCCAGTTCTTTCCCTTTCTACACACATGTCCTAACTGTGACTGATCCACTTGGGTTTATAGGCCTGGGTTTCGAGATCCTGGCGTATGATTGCAAACTTTGAACCTTTTTGTCTCTTGGACCATTTTTCTCAGATATTTTATTTCTGAGGCCCGAAGCTGGCTTCTGTGAGCTCTTGTCATTGCTCCAATTTGCATTTTGTTTTTTGGGTATAAAAATGGGGAAATTGGAGTACAATGTGAGAGACAGAGGGATACCAGGAGAGAAGATATGAGACAGTTTTGAATCATGGCATGCTCGCGTGCGGATCGGAAGGTCGCGGGTTTGCTTCCTGGCGGAGCCAGACTTTTAAAAAAAAATGACGTTGACTGGCAGGTCGACCCAGCCTTGAGTGGGTAGTGAATGCAGTCTTGGGAAGGAGAGGCAGCCGGCGTGATGCTGACCACATCACCCATCTTGTGCCGATTGGTGTATAAAAATAAATATAGGTCTAGCCCTACCTGCTCTATAACCTAAAGGTGTGGAAAAAAACACCTTTCCTTTTTTTTTTCAACTTTGTCATATGGTATGGAGGAACATTGATATGAGAAATGATTGACAGCACATGAGACAGAAGGCTGGGGAGCAACATGGCTACCAACATCACATGTTATGGGCTAAAAGAAGATTGTGCATTTAACTTATTTGACAGTCATCTACATCGTAAACAAAACTAGAAGAAATCACGTGAGAAAGAAATTACAGGAGCTCTTGGCACAACACCTATAATTATATTAATTGAAAAGCAAAGACTGAAATGGTTTGGCCATTAAATGAGAATGAATCCAGTTATGCCATCACCTGAGTGTAAGTAGAACACCAGGATATAGGGGACAACCAAGAAGAAAATAGATTGGAGTCACTGACACCTTCAAACTGCACAACACCATAGCATACTGGCCCAACCGAGCGTGCCCTATCTCACAAACTGATTACCTGTTAATCTGCATTGCCTAGTGGCACAAAGCAGGAAATGGACCAAAGATAAAGATAGTCACCAACAAATTTGGAAAATTACCGAACACTACTTTTCCGAAACTAGGCGACTGGTGTAAGGTAACTGTGCAGTGGATACCATCTTACTGTGGAGTTCCTAGAAGTTAAACTAGCTAAGGAAGATGCAATTGAAGAACAACCTGATGTACCAGTCTCTTATCAACAGAAGAAGAATATAATTAAATCAATCAGAAAGCAACCAAAACCGGCACAAGATGATTACCATATATGGACAGTCCAGAGCAATTTATTATTCTACGCCTTAGAACAGGAGACAATCGAGATCACAGCCATAAGAACACAAAATTTAAATCGGCAAATCATCCATATGCACGTGTGGCTTGGCACCTGAGACATAAATACATCAAATACAACAATTCAAGGCAAAACTTTTGGCCAAAAGAAACACCTGTGCAGGCCAAACTTTACGGGTAGCTGAGGGAATTACAAAAGACAGTGAAGTTCATACAAGAGACAACATTTCAGATATAGATAATTGATTTCAAGCAAACAAAAAAAGAAGAACCCAACAAATAAATGAATTCGCTCATTTTCTCTTTCTTATTCAGATCTGCGGCGTCAAGCACGACAGCTGGAAAATGAAATTGATCTCAAACTGGTATCCTTTAGCAAGCTGGGCACCACATACTCTTCACACAGAAACTATGAGAGGTAAGACAACTTGGTCATAGATTGATAATATGCTTCATCTTCTGACATTGATCTCACAGTGGAGCATATGCTCTCAACCAGTCAAGTTGTCCTGTCCTTTGCTATCGCATGCTGTTCACCCCATATCCTCCCTATCTTTCCCACTTGACTCTAATTATATTCTCCGTATGCTATTTGCTCTGCCTTTTTCCCTTGGAATCTGTAGTTTGCAGTGCAAGGACCTTCTGGTTAACTGGGATGCATACCAGGTTGTCCCATAAGTTTCCTTACATAGGACAAACATTGTTTTTTAAATGAAAACATCTTTTTAAATAATAGGCTTTATTTTACAAATAAAGAACATTTTATGCGAGCTTTTTTTGTCAGTTGAGACGAGAAAGAGAATTCTTAAAAGTTAAATAATGATGTACGGATGTAAATCATGGACAGTTAGTAAATTAGTGAAAACCTATTTGGAAGCTGCGGAGGTATGGTTTTATAGATGAATGATGAGAATACCCTGGACAGATAAAAAGAGTAATGAGGACGTCTTGAAATAAACTGACTCAGGAAGAGAACTGATTGCCCACATCATAAAGAGACAATCTACATTCTTTGACCATGTGATGAGAAGGAGAAAACTGGAGTACATCGCGATGATAGGAAAGTTTGAGGGGAGGAGAGGCAGAAGGAGACCGAGAGAACAGATGCTGGACAATTTGACATCATGGCATGGAAGATCATTACTGTCAGAGTTCTTCTTCTTCTTCTTCTCGTTCACCAGCTGTAAACTCTGGCGGAAAGTTCTGGTTGTTCATCCACTTCTGGACGGCAGTCCTGTACCAGAACCTGAGTGTTGCATGTGCATCCGTTTGACAGATCTGACTCATTTGTATGCGGACTGCTGGTTCCTTGCCTCTCAGGCAGATGCACTCCAACTTCGAAGGAAGCTCCCAATTAGTCGACTCTTACGACATGCTTGGGTCTATTCTTGTTTTCCCTATAATAGGGCCCCAAAACCCACACGGGGTATGTCAGAGTTATTGAAAGTACACGAGACAGAAGGTTGGGGATAGACATGACCACGAACGCGACTCTGCATGGACATTCAGAAGAAGAAGGAGAATATGCTCTAAACGACTACCATTGTTTTTAAAAACACATTTCGATGCATGTCCTTCACTGCTGAAGAACATGTAAAAGCATCATCATCATGTTGCAGGTCCTTTGCAAAACGTCGCTGTCATCACCATCTGCCTGAAAGAAACTTGTTCTCTCTCTTTCACACTCAAGGAGTCACTTATATCCTGTGCCCATCTTCATGTTGGTCAGCCCCTGCCCCTCCTTCCTGGTACCATGCCTTCTGCTATAATTTTTTCCAGTCCGTCATGGCGCTTGATGTGACCGAAATATTTCAGCTTTCGAGACAGGATGCTGTTTATTAGCCAACCTTCCTTGATGTTAAGATCTTTCAAGATGTCAATATTTCTCCTCTTCTTTGTCCAAGATATTCTGAGAATCTTTCTATAGAAGAGAAGAAATACTGACATCTTGAAAGATCTGTAAAAGCACAGCTGCAGTTATTCTTATAATGGCATTTTTAATTTTTGTTTATTTTTCAAGTGTATGGAAACTTATATGACACCCCTGGTTGATAGAGTTTTCAAGTTCCTTTTCCCCGTACTTTGAGATAGATTTAGTATAACTCCATCCTTTAATTTTTAGTTTTTGTTTACACGAATCAGGACTTGTTGAGTATATCTTGTCAGTTCCCTTATTTTTAGACCAGTTAGCACTGCATAAATGATGTGAACGGTATCATCATGGCTGACTCTACTTCCCCTAACTTTTCCTGAGCCCTCTTTAGGTTGAATTGACTGGGAGCTCAGATCAGTTTTTAGAGTTCCCTGCTGCTGTGGGGGAAGGTTCAAACACAGTTAGTTAGTTGCGTATCCTTTACAGGACGTTGCAGAACCAACCCTAACAGCCCCTGGCTGTTGTGTAGTTTCTCTAGGCAATTTACGTCCAGTAGTTTGCCATTGCTTTCTGGACGGTCGGCTTTCTTGATACCTCTGTCGAAACCAATGCAAGGCGCATTGCCCGCAGCTGGGATCGAACCCGGCATCCCGGCATTACAAAGCGAAGCGTTCGCATTGACTTAGCCACAGAGCCGACTAAAAAGTTAGTTGCGTATCCTTTACAGGATGTTGCAAGGTTTAAACACAAGAACACCATTAAGGACGGTAAATTTGATAGCCACTGCATTACAGCAGATCTCCATATGGAGTTAGTAGGCTGTGAAATATAGCTTTCTTTCTTCTTCCTCTGTCTTTTATCTCCCAGTGGAGCATATGCTCTCAGTCAAGTCATGTGTTTTTGTCCTTACCTTTGCTATCGCATGCAGCTCATCCCATGTCCTTCCCTTTTTTTTTTTCAACATCAATCTCTAGTTTCCTCCTCAAATGTGTCCTCTGATGTTTCATTTCTTTCAGTACCTTTCATGCCCTTCCCACGTCATACATAGTTATGCACATTCCAGGTGCCAATTCTGTAGATTTGTCTAGGTAGAAGGAACTGCGTCTGCGACCCCTGACTCCTTTCGGCTTTCTCCCATGCTGTTTTACTGTTGTGCTTAGGATGCAGAAGTGCTGAACTACACATGGTGTTGCACCAGGACCGGGGCTCATACTGGCCGAGGCCCGTCTACTTCTCTCTCTACATCACCCTGGAAACAGGTTCCCACGGGGTGGCCTGGACACCATGAATGGGATCAGTGTTTACTTCAAAGTCAGAATGTGTCTGCCTGAGTTAAGCTCACTTGATTTAAGAACCAACATCACAGCACTCTGGGTATTCCCATAAGTGCTGCATCCTGATTTTCAGCAGCCAATGCAGAGTTCAAATACCAATGGTGCCAGTAGTAGTCAGATTTTTTGTCTGTTTTGCTTTTCCTCATAGCATCATATTGCCAGATCCCTTCATTACTCTTTGCTGCATCTCTGTCAGCCAGTCTGTGATGATCACAGTATCACAGTACTTCCGCCTGTGAGAGGCAAAGAACCAACACTCTGCACACAGATAAGCCAGATCTGTAAAAGAGACAGGCATGCAACACTCTAGTCCTGGAATAAGACCAAATTCTAAAAGTGGATGAGCAGCCTGACTTTCCCCTGGTAAACTAGAAGAATAAGTAGTTGCCTGCTGTACCATATTGTTTCACCATCATACAATTGTCACCTTTCTATTGATGTTATCCATCTTGCAGTAGGCTGCTTTTGAAAGGACAATTCTTGTTTTACAAGGCATCTTCCAGGCAGTATTACAGTAAACCCTTATTAACATGAACTTACTTAAGTAGAATACCCCAGTAACATGAGCACAAAATTAGATCCAGCCAGGGCTATATTATTTCTTATAGACCTTTTCAGTTAATTAATTAATGTGTATTTCTGTTGCCCAGAATTACAAACTGTTTTTCAGTCTGTTGCATCACTACATCTTTTTTTAACCCGAACTTCCAAAGCTGTCCATGATTTTGTTCCTTTTTTTTCTCTGCTAGGTATGTTAGAAATGAAAATAATGTATTGCTTTGAATGATTACTTTTACTAAAAATAGCATATAGGGGGTTTCATTGTCAGCAATTGACTTGTATTTATTGAAATTATGACACTGTAATTTACCATTCATCCTAGTTGAGGGGGTAAAGTTGGAGTCACCATACACAGACACTCTATTCACACATGAAGATGCCAACACTGTTAAGTCCCCACTTACCCAATTTTTAATTTTAATAGGCTCAGAATTTTTAAACCCAGTTCTTTCTCTCTGAATTTGTGTTTATTGATCACTTCAAATGATAAATATAGGCAGTAAAGTGAAGAGTAATCTGATGGGAGATGAGATCAACATTGTGCTGACCGCGTTTACTTCCTAGGATGTTGCCTTGTACTTGATTGAGGCCGGACTGAACTGGGAGCCACAGGAATTTGTTTAAATAAATATCAGTCCTGATGTGCATTCAAACCCAAGGTGTTTGGGTTGGCATGCAAGCAAATGACCGTGTTACCTACTGTGTTTATGTTGACAGTGACTCTGCCCCCTTGCTGGACAAGACCAACAGTGAACACATGTTTGATACCATGGCTATGGAAATATCACAGCTGTTATCTAAGGTAAGTGTGTTATTTCATTTTGTTGATGAGAAAATGAGCACTGGAAAATATTGTGATGACCGGAAAGATCACTGGTAGAAGAGGCAGATCAAGAGAGAGAGATGGTGAATGGCTGAAGACAGTGGTATAGAGGAATATCATCAGTGGAATTGATCCAGAACACCAAAGACCGAGATCTGTGGACATGCTTGAATGCTTACGCCAGCTGGCAAGGCACTTGATGATAATAAAGTGTATTTAATTCTTACTCTTCTTCTTTCTCTTTAGTGTTTACTGTTAAAAGGATGGTTGGCATAATGTGGTTTACAGCTAGGCTGTGATGTTAGCTTTTTTTTGATCCAACACATCCAATTTCAGTATAGTCTGTGCTGGTTGCCTGTTGTGACATACTTGTTAAAGGGTACTGAGTCTGTTCCTTTTTACCCCCAGAACTCACATGCGGTAGAACTCACATGCGGTAGAAACCACATGCGGTAGAACCCACATGCGGTAGAACCCACATGCGGTAGAACTCACATGCGGTAGAACCCACATCTTCTTTAATTTGACATTTTATTGAGCGAGAAATGATGACTTGATGCTTGCGTTGAGCTGTCTTGTTGGTATGACCTGATTGTGTTGACATGCTGTTAAAGATTCTTGATAACCTCTAGCTTGCCCTGCATTCGCTAACCCCTAATATATAATATATTATAATAGGATTATTATTATAGAACAGAGTTTTCAATTCTCTAGAATAATGATTTTTTTTTTTTTGCCAAATAGAATATAATACTTTAGGAAAAGGAGGTTCATGTCTGATTGCCATCTGCATCATTTTGTTTTTAGCTGACGGAGGTCAATGACAGAATGGTGGAGTACACTCAGAACATCTCCAACTCCTCACCAAGTGCTGCCTTACTGCACACCTTGCAGAGACACCGGGACATCCTGCAGGACTACTCCCACGAGTTCCAGAAGATTACAGCAAACATTGCTTCTCTTAGGGAACGGGAAGATCTCTTGGGTTCTGTGAGGAGAGACATCAAGTATGTGAATCCAATGTATCTTCTTCTTCAACTCCTCTTCCTTCTCCTTCTTCTTCTGCTTCTTATTCTTCTACTCCTTCTTCTGTTCCTACCCGTCCTCCCCCAGTAGAGCATACTTCAGCAACCCCAAACCAAGTCATCCCGTACTTTGCTATGGCATGTAGCTCACCCATATTCTCATCGTTTAACTTCACTCTCAAGTTCTTTTTCAAGTTTTTTTTTGGGGGTTTTATTTTATTTCTTTGACACTGTAGGTTCCAGTGCAGAGACTTTCTGGTTATATTGTTATGAGGTTTTCCCAGCTGTGTCCTATCTAGCATCAGATTCTTATCCTCATCTCCTGATTCACTGGACTTGGGTATCTTCTGTTAGCTTGATATGTGCTTTGTCTCTGTTACAGAGGGTATCATCGCAGGGAGGAGGTAAATGTGGCATGTTGGATGTTGCATGAAGTGTAGCTTAAATTGTCACAATTAACTTGTTTGATACTTGAGGGGTAGGGTGTGGCAGGTTAGGTGTTTAGTACGCTAGACCCTAATGTCAGACAGGCGGGTTCAAATTCTTGCTTCCCTGTGTCTGTTCTGGGGTCCCATTTTGGGGAGAAATAAAAGCAGACCTACTGTTTCCACATGTCACATCAATCGACTAATTAGGGGTTTCCTTCGATTTAGCATTGCATCTGCCAGAGAGGTCAACAGTATGAGTACAAGTGAGCCATATCTGTCAAATGGATGTGCATGCAAAACCCAGGTTCTGGAACAAGAAGAATAAGAAGAAGGTAATGGAGCTTTTCTTTGTCGGGGACACATGTGAATATCCCCAACCTGCATAGTTTATAGCTACTGCGCTAGCCATACAGCCATCAATTATCAGGTTCACGACCCCCTAGTCCTATACCACTCTAAAAAGTTGTACATCTTTTCCCTCTTCTTTCCTCTACTCCTGGAATGCTTCACAGCATCATGCAGGAGATCTCTTTTGTTCACTTCGTATAAAGTATTTTTCAGTGTCTGTTTCTTCGGTCCATTCCCTGCGTGGTCGACCCCTGGCTCTGTCACGGCTGTATCTGCTTAATATTGCTTTCTGTGGTACCCTGTCTGATGCCAATCTTGCTACATGGCCAAACCATTTGGTTTGTTGTATACCTATAAAGTATTGGTTCTGTCCCAACTAGTATCATCATTATTAAGTCGATCTGTCCTCATTACACCTAGCATAGTACGTAAACATTTAATTTCCGTCATGACTATTTTCCTTCTGTCTTCTGAAGACAGTGTCCATGTTTGACATTGATATCATAGTGTTGGTAAGAATATTGTGTTGAACATTGTTCTTTTAGTGTTAAAATTCACATGCATGCATTTTAAAATTGGTGCCATTTGGCCTAAAACTATATTGGCTGTATTGCATCTTTGCTACATACAGACAGTAAATGGTTTTTTTTTTAATTGATGGTGCTGTCCTGAATGAAGAATGAGATTTCTTGAAGTACAGCTTTTGAGCATCTGACAGCTTTTTTTTTTTTTTTAGTTAAACTGGAATTCTGGGAGTCCGCTCAGTTCAGAGAAGGTTTGCTGTCTCTGTCTCTGACCTATGCCTCTGTATGCTGACATCAGAGATGCAATCTGGCCTTTTCCAGCCACAGTGAAGACAAAGCCGTATGGTACACGAGAGGATTTGGACTGCACGATAGCTTTCAGAAGGGTCGAAGAAGAAGAAGAAAGTGTCTCTGCTGTTAAGAGCAGTATCTTTTTTAACTTTGTCCCATCATCAAGTTTTGGGTTGTCCTCTTGTCTAGTGTTGCTTGTAGTGTGCTCATGCTGCAGGCTGGTCAGGGTTCATTCTGAACTTCCAGTTTTTCTGAAATGAGGTATAATCAGTGTGTATCCTTTTCAAATGTTGAATTAACTCTTTGAGTCCCAAGGAACGCATCATGTGTGCTTAGATTCCTACCTAGAGGCCCAGTGAACAGATTTTACATCTGTCTTGACTACCCCTTGGACCTGTGATGCTAAACCCCCTGGAACTCAAAGAGTTAAGAATCAACATCATAGCACTCGGGCACTCACATAGTGTGTCCTTTCCAGTGGGAACAAAACACCATGGACCGTGTTGGGTGGAGGGGGCACATCAGGAAGGGAATGAGAATGAAGGAAGAAATCTTCTTCATGTTCACCAGCTGTAAACTCCGGTGGAAAGTTCTGGTTGTTCGTCCACTTCTGGACTGCAGTCCTGTTCCAGAACCTGAGTGTTGCATGTGCATCAGTTTTACAGATCTGAATTATTTGTATGCAGACTGCTGGTTTCTTGCCTCTCTGGCAGATGCATTTCGACTTCGAAGGAAGCTCTTAATTAGTCTGCTCTTGTGACATGCTTTTGGGTAGGCAGTGGGTCTATTCTTGTTTTTCCCTATAATAGGGCCCATGAAACCGCACGGGGCGAAGGAAGAAATGACTGCAGAAAGGATGAGAACTGAGCATCTGAGAAAAAGCAGACTAAGCACAAATGTTGACAACAGTTGACCTGAAATCCAATGCTATAATTGTGGAAGGCTTTTTTGTAATGCTGACGGGTCTTGCTAGTCACACTTGCCATCGCGATGGGCTGAGAGTCCCATGTCTCCTCATAGTACAATATAACATTATTCTCTGGAAAGATCTAAAGGTGCCAATCAATCCTTTCCAGTGCCAACTTCATTTATGTCTCCATAAATTCTATGTCTGTGATTCTTCGTGACACTTTAAGTTAATTAGCCCCGTCCTTCCCGAGTCAACAATATGACTATATATATCACATCATGGTAACCCTAAATATATGCATAAAACATAAACATATTTGTCTTCTTATAGTCAGCATTTCCCGCATCTAATCATTCTCATTTATTATGCTTTCACTCCTCTTTCATTCCTAATTATCTTAACTATAGTTGTAGAAATCCTAGGTCTACGCTGACTTGTGGTTCTACAAATTTTCAGAAAAATCCTTGGTAGAAACTTGTCCGTCTTTCTTAATTCAAAATTTCCGAACTGTCCCTTGCTGAATGTCTTCTAGTTTTTTGACTGCCCTCCGCAGGTATGTGTGTTTCAACACAACAGGTAGAATTCTTTATAATTGTCCTTATGTGGCTCTGGTTTATAACAGTGAAATTTATTTGATTAACTGACAACACATTTAGATATTAGTTAACCACATCACATCAAGTGCCAGGTAAGTTAACCACATCACATCAAGTGCCAGGTTAGTTAACCACATCACATCAAGTGCCAGGTTAGTTAACCACATCACATCAAGTGCCAGGTTAGTTAACCACATCACATCAAGTGCCAGGTTAGTTAACCACATCACATCAAGTGCATTAAAACATCAAAAAGTGCCAGGTAAGTTAAACCACATCACATCAAGTGCCACCTTTATAAAATATTGAAATAAAACTCAAGTTAACCACATCATGTTATACCGTATCGTTATTATCAAAAATGTGAATATTTATTTATTAACATAATAATCATATAATAAATTTTCATATTGTTCAAAAATGTTTGTTAATAAATGCCATATTTTATATAAACATATAAAAAATAACATTTTACAAATTCATGTTTATATATCGTAAAATTAAATGTGAATATTTAATTAACAATAATAATAAAAATTTTCATATTGTTCATTCATCTAATAAATTAACATTAAATGTGAATATTTATTTATTAACATATAATCAATAATAAATTTTCATTAAATTAATTCATGTTTATACTGTAATATTAAAAATTAAATGTGAATATTTATTAATAAAAATATAATCATATAAAACATTTTCATTATTGTTATCATGTTTATACTGTATCGTATTAACATTAAATGTGAATAATTTATTAAATATAAATATAATAAATTTTCATTATTGTTCATAATATTTAATAAATATAATAATATATAATATTTCATTATTGTTCATATGTTAATACTGTATCGTATTAACAATAAATGTGAATATTTATTTATTAACATATAATCATAAATAACATTTTCATTATTGTTTCATTCATGTTATAATCGTATATTATTAAATGTGATATTTATTTATTAAAATATAATCATATAATAACATTTTCATTATTGTTCATTCATGTTTATACTGTATCGTAATTAAAATTAAATGTGAATATTTATTTAACAATAAAAATAATCATATAATAACATTTTCATTATTGTTCATTCATGTTATACTGTATCGTATTAAAATTAAATGTGAAAAATTTATTTATTAACATATAATCATATAATAACAAAATTCATTAAACTCAATGTTTATATACTGTATCGTATTAACATTAATGTGAATAAAAACATATAAATATAATTTATTTATGTTTAACCAAAAATGTGAATAAAATTATATATAATCATATAATAAAATTTTCATTATGTGTCATAAATGTTTATACTGTATCGTATTAAATTAAATGTGAATATTTATTTATTAACATATAATCATATAATAACATTTTCATTATTGTTCATTCATGTTTATACTGTATCGTATTAAAATTAAATGTGAATATTTATTTATTAACATATAATCATATAATAAAATTTTTTCATTATTGTTCATTCATGTTTATATACTGTATCGTATTAAATTAAATGTGAAATATTTATTTATTAACATATAATCATATAATAACATTTTCATTATTGTTCATTCATGTTTATACTGTATCGTATTAAAATTAAATGTGAATATTTATTTATTAACATATAATCATATAATAACATTTTCATTATTGTTCATTCATGTTTATACTGTATCGTATTAAAATTAAATGTGAATATTTATTTATTAACATATAATCATATAATAACATTTTCATTATTGTTCATTCATGTTTATACTGTATCGTATTAAAATTAAATGTGAATATTTATTTATTAACATATAATCATATATACATTTTCATATTGTTCATTCATGTTTATACTGTATCGTATTAAAATTAATGTGAATATTTATTTATTAACATATAATCATATAATAACATTTTCATTATTGTTCATTCATGTTTATACTGTATCGTATTAAAATTAAATGTGAATATTTATTTATTTTGTTTCAGCTCTTACAAAAACTCTGGATTAAACAGGCGGTCTGATTTATACCTGAAAGAAAATGAGCACATACGGAAGTGAGTAACCATGCCTTGACTTGCGCTGGCTGCTACTTCCTCTAAAGGGTTAAAAAACAACTACAAAAAAAAGCATTGTTGAGAAAACCTGAAAACAGTATAACAGAATATTTTCACACTGGAACCCACAGGGGCATAGAAATAAAGGCAGACCAAAAAACACACACCTGATGGGAACTAGAGAGTGAGGCTGAAAAAAAAAATGGGGAAGACATGCAGAGCTGCACTGTGATAGTAAAGTATATAATGACTTGGCGTGAGATGGTTGAGGGCTTATGCACCATTAAGGAAAAAATCTCAGAGGAGAAAGAAATCTGGGGCTGTGGGAGTATAGGGCATATATTGTTCACTGTTTTGTTACCAGGGCCTTTAGAGGAAAGCAAAGTAGCACTGCATCCTACCTGGCATGTTGTAAGAGCCAGCTAAGAGTAGAGTAAGTTTTTGGGTTGGCGTCTCATCCTGTCAGAAACTTCAGCCGCATAGTTCTGAGCAAACCCTAATAAGTACCCTTTTAGTGCGTGTTTGATTGGGGCAGTCAGTCTTTTATTCTTAAAACAGGGGTTTCGGATTGCACACACAAAAATGTGGGTTTTGGATTAAAACACCTTAGAGGTTTAAGTCAGCAGTTAGCCTGTGGGTCATGACCCCTGTGAGGATAGAACGACCTTTTTGCAGGGGTCGCATAAGGACCATCGGAAAACACATATTCACTGAAGTTATGAAGTAAACAACCCAAAAAAAAATTTTATGGTTGGGGTCACTCCTATTTTATTCTCTATCTGTGGTAAAATTATATTGTTGTGTCTAATTGTTTCTAGGTAGTGTTTAAGAATATGTTAGATTACAACCGGTACCATTAGTATTGGAACTCTGCACTGGCTGCTGAAGATGAGAACGGACACGCATGGGAATACCCCGAGTGCTGTGATGTCAGTTCATGACTCAGCTCAACTTATCATCATCATCAATTGCCCTGCCAACTGGCGTAGGTGTTCATGCGTCTCCACAAATCACGATCCCTGGTTGCCTGGAACAGCTCTCTTGATGATATCCCTCTATGCCATCGTTTCAGCCCATCCAGCATCTTCTCTCTTGGTCTGCCTCTACCCCTTTTTCCACTGATCTTTCCAGTTGTCACGATGTTCTCCAATGTCTCTCTTCTCATTATGTGGCCAAAGAACAGTGTTTAGATCTACTTTCATTAGCCTCTTTCAAGCAATCGTTGTTAGTTACTCTGGATCTCCAAGGTATTTGTAACATTCATCAACTCAAGAATATATTATTTTTGTGACAGTAATGTGTGCTTGTCTTGTTTTCTTTCATTACAGCTCAGAAAGATTGGTCGATGAGCAAATAAAGTAAGCTGGGTAATTTGTTTGTTTGCTTTGAATGTTAACTAAATTTAAGTGCGTATTCTGTACAGGAGTGTGCAAACCAACACTGGCATATGTTGATTGTTTCTGCTTTTTTACTAGGAAAATTTATGTTCAGAAGTTAGTGAATTCTAAATTTAACTAGAAGAGACAGGAAATGACAATAGCAGGAAAGAATTTGGGAGCGGAACCAGTACTAAACTACGTCAAGAGATAACAGATCAAATGGTTTGGACATGTGTCAGGACTGCCATAGAGAGCCTGGTCACTTACACATAGTGGAAGAAGAACTAGAGGTCAGCCATGCAAGTGATTCCCAAAATTAAAGTTGCCGTTGACGATATTGATGACATCCAAAGGGCCGTAACATCTACTTTAAGGGCCATAACAACAGAAGAACTACAGAGGTTGTTCCAGTGTTTGTTAGATCGTGCTAGATCATGCCACTTGTTGTATCAATGCACAAGGGAGCTTACCTTGAATAAAATACAGGTTATATCTTCAACTGTTGATTAATTTAATTTTTATGGAATTAGTCTCATTACTTAATTGTCAGACCTTGTGTATTTACTAGTTCACCCTTAAATGGGTGGTTGGCACATTGTGTTGCAGCATACAGCTGGCTATAATATCTGTACCTTTCAGCCCAACAAATCAGATTTTAAGTAAGTAAAGTAAAGATCCCTTTTCACGCCTTTCGGTGCATCGGGCATATGGGCAGAGCGTCCCATATTTTAACAGACCATCAGCACTCGGTAGGTAATGTGGTCAGCATTACGCCAATCAGATTTTAGTCAAACCCTAATTACATGCTGTTTTGTGACATGTTTTTTACGGAGCAGAAGGTCTTTTTTGTTCCTCCCACAAAATGGGGGCCACGGAGCCCACACGGCGATGATTCATTTCTTCTGCCCTTTGTTTAAGGTTTGAACAACAGATCAACATAAGTAACCCATAAGTGCTCCGTTCTTCTTCTAACTCAAGTCGGAGTCCGAAGAAGCTCAGAACAGTGCACAGGCTCTGAAGCACCCGCGAGGATTCTGAAAAACTTTGGGTAGATTTTTAACGCCAAATTTTGCTCCAGTGCAAAAATACTCTGTTTTTATAGTTCTCGGGTTTTCTCAACATGTGTCCTATCCAACACCAGCATCTTTTCGTCACCTCTTGATTCACAGGAATTTGTTTAGTTCACTTCCAAAGCTCAGCGTTAGTGATTCTGTCATACCATATTAACCCACTGACTATATAGCCTCTTAACCCTTGTACTTTCCAGGAAACCACACATTTTTAGTATGTGATAACAATGCCATAGCTTCATAACTATTTAACCCTTTGGAGACGATGCGACCGAAATATCGGCTTGACACAAAGTAGCCAAAAGGACGACTGGGCCGATCAGTCGGCCCTATCATCTTCTTCTTCTTTACATTCACCAGCTGTACACTCTGGCTGAAAGTTCTGGTTGTTTGTCCACTTCTGAAATGCAGGCAGTCCTGCTCCAGAACCTGAGTGTTGCGTGTGCATCAGTTTTACATATTTGATTCATTTGAATGCAGACTGTTGGTTCCTTGCCTCTCAGGCAGATGCACTCCGACTTCAAAGGAAGCTCCCCAATTAGTCGACTCTTGCGACATGCTTTTGGGATGGCAGTGGGTCTATTCTTGTTTTCCCGACAATGGGGTCCCAGAACTCACATGGGGGCAGTCGGCCCTATGTAATACAGGCCTTGAGATTGGCTGGCTGGTTTTCGTACCAGAATATCAGATTGCTTCTCTCATTTTTTGCTCATGTGAGCTGTTCATTGGCGGCTTTCTGGAAAGTTTAATAATAAGTTCGGTAATTTTACATTAATTTTTTTCTGGGGTTACCTGTTCCCAACAATGGTGAAAAGGACTATTGCATCATAGCAACCGAAACAAAGCTGGAGGCAGGAAAATGAGTAGAACCAAGTACCAGAAGTGTCTGAAGGGCCTCCAAGGGCCTTACTTCCCAAAACACAGGTGTTGGACTTATTCAAGCTTCGTCCATCAGAACATTCACCCAAATGTTTTAGGTTATTCATGTTTGTTCCCAAGTTTTAAAAAAAAAATCAGGCTTTCAGTTTGATTCATAAATTATACTCATGCATCGTCAATAGCTTAGTATGAACCCCAACGTCCGAATAGTACACCAGTTCATGTGATTTCAGTCTCGTTTTTTGCTGTGCCGATCTTAATTCCCATCTGCCATTCTGGCGAGTGATGTGGATTCACTGCCACCAAAGTCCTCTATCCTGAGGGCATTGTTTCAGCTGACCAGGCCGAAGTGATAGCGGATCCATGTCAGCTCTTTCATATCGACGCCTGCGTGTCCCGGAACAAAAATAAAAGGTGACTCCAGCACAGTGGACTTCTGTAACGATTCAAGCCATTGTCTTCACACTGAACACTGCCTAAATTGAGTATACATATGCGGGTGTATTTTTACATGTTTCAAGCCAGGCAAACGCTTGCGTCACTGCCATCACCTCCATCGTCATGCTGCTGGTTGTCATGGAGAAGGCACGTTGCTTTTTGACTGTTCTGCCCGCTGAGCGTGCTGTAAAGCCCATGCGCTTCTTCCTATAACGGATCCGTCTGTATAGATTAGTTCGCTTCGTCTGAATTTTCATCGATGAGAGCGTTGACCTCTGCATTAACAGCAACAGGATTCTCGTCTCTACATCGCCTGTTGAGTGTGACAATACAGGAAAAATGTAAAATAAACGCCTGAGGCACAGGTATCCATTCTGCACCAGGTACAGAGCTGCATATTAACTTCTTTGCCCGACCTAGCCACGATTTTTTTCCCTCTTCAGTCTGTCGCCCTTTTCACTAAAAAGCGCTTGATGCAGTGGGTGTTTCTTATCAGCACATATTTTGAGGTATGCCCGAGCCCTCCACATCCTGATCCTTTGGTTCATTGTTGGAAAGTCAAGTAGATACCTCATTGCTTCACAGGATGTGTCTCTTGTACATCCCAAAATAATGCGCATGGCTTCATTTTGCACCTTTTCGAGTCTTTCAATCTGGGTAGCACAACCACTTCATTTTCTGTCTTTCAATATGTTCCATGCATGCTCTTGTTCCAACTTTGTCTCTAATGCTGACGTTTGTGACTCTGTCTCTTCGTGTATTGTTGGTGACTCTTCAGAGACATCGCATTTCACACGTAGTTATTTTTTGCATATGTGATTTGTTCATTGTTTTGTACATGTTAATTAAACGCTTTATTTTTTTTATAAATTTGTGTGTGTGTATAAACTATGAGAATCCCCTCCTGAAGGCTTCGCCTTTTTGGCACCAAAACTCCAAAAAGGCTCTGTCTACAGAGGGTTAACTTAAACTCAGATGTTGGTTCCTCAACTCTCGGGCAGATGAAATCAAAGGAAACACTGCTAATTAGTCACTTTTTTTACATGCTTTTAAGGGGGCAGTGGGTCTATTTGTTCCCTCTGAAAACATGGGATCCTGGAACCCACACAGGGAGAAAACAGCCACAGTCTGCAGACTTTATGCGAAAAGAGTATAAGAGAATGAGATCAGTATGTGGTGGCTTGACCACATGGTTGGGGCTTGTATGGGAAACCCTGACCGTGTATGCTCATCGGCATGACACATGATGATGTATTCTGCCTTGGTTATTTTGTTGTTGTTGTAATTGTTCTTTTGTATTTCTCAGCATTGCCATAGCAACCAAAGAGAACCTGCAGTCCCAGGGCAGACTACTGACATCAATCACACATAAAATTAATACTTACACCAGTATCCTTTCTGTAATGTATGATTGCTGTAATAAGTGAACGAATGCACTCAGGAATTCCCACACATGCTGAGTCCCCTTCCTCAGCAGCCATTGAAGAGTTCTCGTAGTGAGGGTGTTAGCTACAACCTGTTTAAAACTTTTGCCTGTCTTTTTTCCCCTGCATATTGAGATCAATCTCCATCCTCTGCTAACTGTTGGCTGAATCAATCTCCATCCTCTGCTAACTGTTGGCTGAATCAATCTCCATCCTCTGCTTACTGTTGGCTGAATCAATCTCCATCCTCTGCTAACTGTTGGCTGAATCAATCTCCATCCTCTGCTAACTGTTGGCTGAATCAATCTCCATCCTCTGCTAACTGTTGGCTGAATCAATCTCCATCCTCTGCTAACTGTTGGCTGAATCAATCTCCATCCTCTGCTAACTGTTGGCTGAATCAATCTCCATCCTCTGCTAACTGTTGGCTGAATCAATCTCCATCCTCTACTAACTGTTGGCTGAATCAATCTCCATCCTCTGCTAATTGTTGGCTGAATCAATCTCCATCCTCTGCTAACTGTTGGCTGAATCAATCTCCATCCTCTGCTAACTGTTGGCTGAATCAATCTCCATCCTCTGCTAACTGTTGGCTGAATCAATCTCCATCCTCTCTGGCTAATCAATCTTGGCTGAAATCAATCAATCTCCATCCTCTGCTGAACTGTTCCATCCTGAATCAATCTGAATCCTCTGCTAACTGTTGGCTGAATCAATCTCCATCCTCTGCTTACTCTTGGCTGAATCAATCTTCATCCTCTGCTGTTGGCTGAATCAATCTCCATCCTCTGCTAACTGTTGGCTGAATCAATCTCCATCCTCTGCTAAGTGTTGGCTGAATCAATCTCCATCTCTGCTTACTCTTGGCTGAATCAATCTCCATCCTCTGCTGTTGGCTGAATCAATCTCCATCCTCTGCTAACTGTTGGCTGAATCAATCTCCATCCTCTGCTAATCAGTGTTGTTGGCTGAATCAATCTCCATCCTCTGCTTAAACAATCTCTTGCTAACTGTTGCTGAATCAATCTCCATCCTCTGCTGTTGGCTGAATCAATCTTCATCCTCTGCTGTTGGCTGAAACAATCTTCATCCTCTGCTAACTGTTGGCTGAATCAATCTCCATCCTCTGCTAACTGTTGGCTGAATCAATCTCCATCCTCTGCTAACTGTTAGCTGAATCAATCTCCGTCCTCTGCTAAGTGTTCCCTGAATCAATCTCCATCCTCTGCTTACTCTTGGCTGAATCAATCTCCATCCTCTGCTGTTGGCTGAATCAATCTTCATCCTCTGCTAACTGTTGGCTGAATCAATCTCCATCCTCTGCTAAAACTGTGACTGTTGCTGAATGAATCATCTCCATCCTCTGCTAACTGTTGGCTGAATCAATCTCCATCCTCTGCTTACTGTTGGCTGAATCAATCTTCATCCTCTGCTAACTGTTGGCTGAATCAATCTCCATCTCTACTCTGCTCAATCTCCATCCCCTGTTGTTGCTGAATCAATCTCTAACTGTTGGCTGAATCAACCTCCATCCTCTGCTAACTGTTGGCTAAATCAGTTTCTCAAGGTTTGAAAGCTCTGTCTGATCTGTTCCCTTGATTCCAGAGGGCCTTCACCATGTCCGCTTTATCATAAAGTAGCTCATCACCCATAGGAAGAGGAACTGCCAATATTTTGGCCTGCTCATTGCCGCACACCCCAGAATGTCCTGGACCGAAAACCTATGTTGTGTTACTGATCTGAGTCCTATCAAGCGATAATTATTTCAGTATTTCTTTCATTTTCTTCTTCTTTTTCTTCTTTTCTTCTTCTTCTTCTTCTTCTTCTTCTTCTTCTTCTTCTTCTTCTTCTTCTTCTTCTTCTTCTTCTTCTTCTTCTTCTTCTTCTTCGCATTCACCAGCTGTAAACCCCAGCAGAAAGTTCTGATTGTTTTGTCTACCTCTTGACTTGAGTCTCGTTCCGAACCTGAGTGTTGCATGCATATCCGTTTTTTTGTAAATATTGTTTTTTACACATCTGATGTGTGTAGACAGATTGTTGGTTCCTTGCCTCTCAGGCAGATGCACATGACTTCGAAAATCAAATTCTGGAACAAAACTGAAGTCCAGAAATGGATGAACAACCAGAACTTTCTGTTAGAGTTTACATCCAGTGTACGCAAAGAGGAAAAAAGAGCTTGGTAACAACCAGAAAGTTTGATAGAAAAAAGAGCAAGCGAATAGATGAAGAGATAAAATAAATGTATGGCTTGGCCAAAAGCACCAGTATGATCAGCACTTGTAGGAATCGCATGGTGATGAAACATGACAAAACTTGTGCTTATCTTGTGGGAATCACATCTGGATGTAACACGACAACTTGTTCTTATCTTGTAGGAATCACATGGTGTTGTAACATGACAACTTGTTTTTATCTTGTGGGAATCACATGATGATGAAACATGACAACTTGTGTTTATCTTGTGGGAATCACATGGTGATGAAACATTACTTGTGCTTATCTTGTGGGAATCACTTAGTGATGAAACAGGACAACTTGTGCTTATCTTGTAGGAATCACATGGTGATGAAACATGACAACTTATGCATAATTATGGGAATCGCTGGTTGTTTCTTGCTGCTCTGGCAGATGCACTCCGACTTCAAAGGAAGCTCCCAGTTAGTCGACTCTTAGGACATGCCAAATTTTTTCAGCTAGGCAGTGGGTCTGTTCTTGTTTCCCCCCCCCCCCCCCCCCCCCCCACAATGGGGCCCGGAACCCACACGGGGATAACAGACTAGTAATCCTCATCACGTTGCAGGTCTTGTGTAGAGTATCACTCTCATCACAGCCTACCTCTCAGTCTCTTGCCAGGTCCCCTGCCTCTTGCACTTTCCTGCCAAAGGTGTCACTTAATCATGTGCCCATCTTTGTGCTATTCAGCCTCTGAATCTTTGTAGTAGTAATCTAAACATTTCTGAAAATCTTTCTTGTGGGTATCTAGAGAGTTATGTAGACATTCTAAGAATCTTTCTAGTAGGTATCTAGGCATTCTGAGAATCTTTTTAGTAGTTATCTAGACAGTCTAAGAATCGTTCTAGTAGTTATCTAGACATTCTAATAATTTTTCTAGTAGTTATCTAGACATTCTAAGAATCTTTCTAGATTTCTAGACATTTAAGAATCTTCTAGTAGACATTCTAAGAATCTTTCTAGTAGGTATCTAGACATTCTAAGAATCTTTCTAGTAGTTATCTAGACATTTCTTAGAATCTTTCTTGTAGGTATCTAAAGAGTTATCTAGACATTCTAAGAATCTTTCTATTAGTTACCTAGACTTGTAATCAGAGTGCTGTAATATCAAATATTTGTTACATCACTGAAGCTCATGTTTTGTGAGATGCTCTAGGCAAGTGACTAACTATTTTTGGGGTTTCCATGGCGAAGGGGTCAAGCCATTTGCCTCTATGGAGATTCCTGTGGAGTGTTGCTTGAGCTATGGTGTTCGTGCTGTTGGCAGGCAGCAAGCTATACTGCAGAGAGAGGTGAAGCCAAATGGGATATAAAACCTGATGCAACGAAGTCAGTTCTCTCAACTTAAACATTTACTTTAACTTTGCGGAGAGAGGCTAAGCCTGATGGGATATAAAACCCATGTGCAGGGAAATAATCTTCTGCATTTAAACTTGTTATTTGTGAATAAAATCTTAACACTGTGAACAGATCGGTTTCCAGTCATCAACAGCCTTGTACAGAGAATCCATTTCCGCAGGAGGAGAGACTCAATTATCGTAGCCCTCGTCATTGCTGTTTGCATCATCCTTCTAATACTGTATGCTTTCCACTGATGTTCGAGATCATCACAATTGTTGCTGTCGCAACATAACCATCTGACCTCGTCCTATTTTTGACATTCCACTTCTTCGTCTAGTTTTGGTCTTGCTATGTATGGGTAATGATATATTGGTAGACCCTAGGTCATGCTGTATTAGTAGACAGGGTCATGCTGTTTTAGCTGACTGGGTCATGCTGTTTTAGTACACTGGGTCATGCTGTTTCATTAGACCCTAGGTCATGCTGTATTAGTAGACCCTGTGTCATGATGTTTTGGTAGACCTGGGTCATGCTGTTTTAGTAGACTGGGTCATGCTGTTTTAGTAGACCCTAGGTCATGCTGTATTAGTAGACCCTGTGTCATGATGTTTTGGTAGACCTAGGTCATGCTGTATTAGTAGACCCTTTGTCATAATGTTTTGGTAGACCTGGGTCATGCTGTATTTGTAGACCTGGGTCATGCTGTTTTAATAGACTCTGTGTCATGATGTTTTAGTAAACTCTGGGTCATGCTGTATTAGTAGACATGGGTCATGCAGTTTTAGTAGACACTGGGTCATGCTGTTTTAGTAGACTCTGTGTCATGATGTTTTAGTAAACTCTGGGTCATGCTGTATTAGTAGACCTGGGTCATGATGTATTAGTAGACATGGGTCATGCTGTTTTAGTAGACACTGGTTCATGCTGTTTTGGTAGACTGTGTCATGATGTTTTTGTAGACCTAGGTCATGCTGTATTAGTAGACCCTGGATCATGCTGTAGTAGTAGACCTGGGTCATGCTGTATTGGTAGACCTGAGTCAGGCTGTATTAGTAGACCTGGTTCATGCTGTATTAGTAGAGCTGGGTCATGCTTATTAGTAGACCTGGCTCAGGCTGTATTAGTAGACCTGGGTCATGCTCATTAGTAGACCTGGCTCAGGCTGTATTAGTAGACCTGGGTCATGCTCATTAGTAGACCTGGGTCATGCTGTATTAGTAGACCTGGCTCAGGCTGTATTAGTAGACCTAGGTCATGCTGTATTAGTAGACCTAGGTCATGCTGTATAAATAGACCTAGGTCATGCTGTATTAGTAGACCTAGGTCATGCTGTATAAGTAGACCTAGGTCATGCTGTATTAGTAGACCTAGGTCATGCTGTATTAGTAGATATGGGTCATTCTGTATTAGTATACCTAGGTCATGCTGTATAAGTAGACCTAGGTCATGCTGTATTAGTAGACCCTGGGTCATGCTGTATTAGTAGACCTAGGTCATGCTGTATTAGTAGATATGGGTCATTCTGTATTAGTAGACCCTGGGTCATGCTGTATTAATATTTTCAAGCATAGCTGATGTCAAACACACAAGAAGAAGGCGAAGAACTGCTCATTTAAGTGTGAACACAGAAGAAGTACTTGCTGCTTATGTCTAACCTTGAATGTAGAAAATAGTCATAGGTTTATCTGTATTTGAGGGTAAAACATGCCTGCTTCCACTATTTGTTGTTGTTGCTTTCCTCTACCCTTAGCTCTGGAGGATAGTAAGATTTTTGGACCATCTTTTTTTTCCTTCTGAATTCCCCTTCCAAGACTGATACCTGAAACTAGCTATGGACTTAAAAAGCCATGGACTCACATAGCCATGGACTCACATAGCCATGGACTCACAAAACCATGGACTCACATAGCCATGGACTCAAATAGCCATGGACTCAAATAGAAATGGACTCACATAGCCATGGACAAAAAGCCAAGGACTCAAATAGCTATGGACTCAAATAGTCATGGACTCACATAGCCATGGTCAAAAAGACATGGACTCAAATAGCCATGGACTCAAATAGTCATGGACTCACATAGCCATGGACAAAAAGTCAAGGACTCAAATAGCCATGGACTCAAATAGCCATTAACTCAAATAGCCAAGGACTCAAATAGTCATAAACTCAAATAGCCATGGACTCAAATAGTCATGGACTCAAATAGTCATGGACTCACATAGCCATGGACTCACATAGCCATAGACAAAAAGCCAAGGACTCAAATAGCCATGGACTCACAAAGCCATGGACTCAAAAAGCCATGGACTCACATAGCCATGAACTCAAATAGTCATGGACTCAAATAGCCAAGGACTCACATAGCCATGGACAAATAGCCAAGGACTCGAATAGCCATGGACTCACATAGCCATGGACAAATAGCCATGTACTCACATAGCCATGGACAAATAGCCATGTACTTACATAACCATGGACTCAAATAGCCATGGACTCACATAGCCATGGACTCAAATAGCCATGGACTCACATAGCCATGGACTCAAATAGCCATGGACTCACATAACCATGGACTCAAATAGCCATGGACTCAAATAGCCATGGACTCACATAACCATGGACTCAAATAGCCATGGACTCACATAGCCATGGACTCAAATAGCCATGGACTCACATAGCCATGGACTCAAATAGTCATGGACTCAAATAGCCATGGACTCCACCTAGCCTGGACTCAAATAGCCATGGACTCAAATAGCCATGGACTCACATCAAACTCACATAGCCATGGACTCACATAACCATGGACTCACATAGCCATGGACTCACATAGCATAGACCAAATAGCACATGGACTCAAATAGCCATGGACTCTCACATAGCCATAGGGGACTCAAATAGCCAGGGACTCACATAGCCATGGACTCAAATAGTCATGGACTCACATAGCCATTTACCTCAAATAGCCATGGACTCAAATAGCCATGGACTCAAATAGCCATGGACTCAAATAGGCACAGTAGCCCATGGACTCGACATAGCCATGGACTCAAAAAAAAATTTAACCCCCCCAGGGAAAAACCCCCCCCCAAAACCCCCCGGGATCAAAAAACCCATGGCTCAAATACCCCGGGCCCCCATTAGCCATGGCTAAAAATACCAAAACTAAAATACCCATGGACTAAAAACCCTGGATTTCACATAGCCTGGACAACTGCCAAGGACTCAAAATCCCGGGACTCGAATAGCCATGGACTCCCCTAGCCATGGAAAAATTTAACCCAAAGGAATTTCGAATAGCCAGGGAAACTCACTGGCCATGGCCCAAATACCCAAAGGCCCGAATAGTCTGGCCCTCAAAATAGTCAGGACTCACATAGCCATGGACTAAAATTCCATGGACTCAAAAATAGCCATGGACTCTAATATTTTGAGGGGATTTTGGGGTTTTACTGCTTTTATTCCCTTTGTATTTTCAAGTTTGAAAATTTTAAATTTTTATGTAATAACTGTATTAACTCTTTTTAAATTAAAAACTGACTTTTTTACGTTTCTTATTTTGCTTCTCTTTTCCCCCATAAAAGGGGGTTTTTTTTTTTTTTCCATCACCCCGGGCTGTAAATCCAGGAAGGTCCCCGGTTTTCGCCCCTTTTGGACTTTTGGCCTTCACCTGGACCTGATTTTGGGGTGTAAAACCTTTTTTTATTTCCCCCCCCTCTTGGGCGGGCTGTACCCCAAATTTTCCGAAGGAAGACTCGGGCCCCCTTTTCTAGGTGACTGGGGCCATTTTTTTTGTGTGGGTCGGGACTGCCTTTTTGTGTGGTGTCCGCCTTGCCCTCTTGCCGCGGGTATTCCCCCCGGGAGTCCCCCTTTTGGGGGGAAACCCCCTGTGGAACATTTGGCCCTAAAGGGAAGGCAGGGCAGTTTCTTGGGCTTTCCCCCGCCTTTCCAAAGGGAGTTTTCCCCTGCTTTCAGACCCGGGCCCCTGCCTCTGGTTCTGGGGCTCCCCCAAAGGGAAATCGTCACGCCCTTTCCCACATGCCTTTTTTTA